GAATCAGGAAGCAGAGAACTGCAGAAAGTCAGTTGAACTTACTGGTTGGTCTGAGGGGAGAAAGCTGACTGATCAGGAATGAGTTTGTTTAATGACAACTGATGACCGATTGATTTGCTAACTTAAGAGATGAGGGGGACGTAGCACGGATCTGTAGGGGTTCAGTCAGTAGGCTTTGCAGACTGAACCCCAGAAGTCCAGCAGAATGTGAATGGGATCCGAGAGCTTTGGTATTTGCAAGAAATATCATGCTGGAGAGAGTGCAGGAAGGTGATGAAGACAGAGAACTGCCACACGTGGGACCTTTTCCTTGAAGATCAGAGACGAACTGAGGTTCACTGGTTGTCATCAGGGGTAATCATCCAGGGAAGAGGGATGATCCTTCATCTACTTATATACAAGCTGATTATCTTGATTGAGAAATGTTCTCAGGTGTGCTGCAACACGGGTCGGCCCAGCCACCAGTAAAGATCTTCTATGTGACAGGAAGCTCACCCATACCAGAATAATCTCAAAACCCTAGAGACCCTAACAGTTTATGTTTATAAAAAGGGATTTATCTGAAAATGTTGGTCTGTAGTGTATGTCTAAAAGGCCCCCTTCAATACGTTTTAATCAAATGCAATATCCTAAGAAACCAAACAAGAAAGCACAGTGCAGCTATGTAAATGGCTTTCTATGTGTTAAGTTTTTCTAGAAATGACTAGAGATGTCTTAAAGGTACACTATTCTGAAAAAGGAAAATAACAAGTAGGCCAGGAATAAAGTTGTGGAATAGCTGAAAGAGGAGTTGGATTCATGTAATCTAGGTGAAAATAACAGTTTGCTTGCTGTTAAAAAAAAAAAATAGGAGAGAACAAATCAATTTACATTTTAAAAATGTCTTTTAGTCTTTTTTTTTCTCCTCCAATACTTGTTTGTTATATTGTTGCATTCATAGTTCAAACTCAATTGCTAAAAGAAAAAAAAATCTACATTATAGAGAGCACTTTAAAGTTTAAAGGAAAATAATTTCAAATTGTTATACATAAAATGAGCCATAACTGCTCAGAGGTTTCCTATCATTACAAAAGCCGGAATTTCAAAAATGTTGGCATTTTTTTGTGCATCCATTTCCATTAGTGTTTACCTTAGAAATATAGAAATGCATGTCTTTACAGGTTAAATGAAGCCTCATTGGCTGCAGATTGAGCTTTGGATAGTCTTTTTTGCAGTGGAAGCTCTGCAGAGGCTCTAGCTTGACTCAAATTATCTTGTCAGGGCAATAATAAAGGATAAAGCTGTGCATGTTTAAAAATCCAATCAAATCAGACCAAGAGTATTTTTTGCATCTGTATTCAGGATGTTTTAACGGTGAAAACGTCTATACAAAAATGTTGCATTCCAGAAAGGAGGCATGTAAGTGCCTTGACAGATAATAGGGAGAGAGTCTGTGGTCATCTTAACATATTCAGGCTGTCAGAAACAACATCTGTATTACTTGTATTGGGGGAAAAGATATTTCCAAAAAGGAAATATTAAAGTAGCGGGATGATGTGTACAGGGAGAGTTCAATAGTTTTTTATTGCAGCTATGTAGAATAATAAACATTTTTTTGCAATATTTTTATCTTGAGTTAATTAATTGTTGTGAGGGAGTAAGTGGGAGTAAGTGAGAGAGCTTGAATCTGTCAAGGGCTGCTTACCGGACTAACGTGGTTGGGAACACTGACAAAGTTCACATTTCTAGGTTTATTATCGATTGTTCATACTAATATTTATTATTGAATATTAGTAACACATCCTTATATTTATTCATATAAAAATTTTAACTTTAACCTTTTGCATTTTTTTATTATTTTTTTATTTTGTATGCAACACTTTGAGATACATAAACGTAAATTACATTCCATATAATATTCATTATTTTAATTGTTCATACTTATACTACCTTTAGCCACAAAATTGGCTGAATTTTACCAATCTGGTTGGTAGTTATATGTCGAACTAATCTTTTGGTTAAAAAAAAAAAAAGCTAATGTTTTTTTTTTTTTTTTTTCTATACTGGTCAAAGGGAGAAACAATACAAATTGGTCACTTTGGCCAAAGTATTGATCAATTTGTGTAACAAGTTTAAAGGCCGGAGCCGGAGATTGAACCAATAACCCTCCAGTTGAGGAGTAAACTCCTGCATTCAATGCCACTGTCAACACTTAAGCTGCTTGGACTTGACTACCAGTGTCTGGAATAAAATAATGGTACAACAAAGATTAACACCAAGATTTGCATGCTCTATACGTACACTCCATTGTTATTGTTCTCTAGGTCCATAAGTATTACACACTACACTTGACTATTTCAATTCAATTCAGTTTATTTATATAGCGCCAAATTCACAACACATGTCATCTCAAGGCACTTTACAGTTCAACCAGATCATACAGTCAAATTGATACAAAGTTTTCTATCTAAAGAAAACCAGTTGACTACACCATCAGTTACCATTTGTAGTGGTTGTTATGTTAATCAATTGAATTGGTTGATCTGAAAGCAATATAATGAAGAATCTAACAAAAACCAAATTATTCTTAGAGTGCAGGTAAGGGTAGGAACGTGGATTGACAGTTAAGTCAAGAGCTTTGGTTTTTTACTCACTTCTTCAGCACAATATTCGGTGAAACATCCGCATTACAGCCGAACTGATCCTCCCACTCCATTCTACCCTCACTCATGTATTCCAGAGATACTTGAACTCCTCCATGTAAGACAGGAACTCTCCTCCAACCTGAATGAACCAGGCACCTTTTTTTGGGCTCAGAACCATGGCCCTAAATTTATTGGTGCTGATTATCATCTCTTCTTTTTTTCTAATAATTAACACTATTACTTCCCACTCGGTGGCTTTAAACTTTACCTTTCTTTTACAGCCACTCCTAAACTGCACACTATTTCCCCATCTAAAATACTTTTGCTCGGGCATCTGGTTAGGATGCCTCCTGGATGTCTCCATGGTGAGGTGTCCCGGGCATTTCCACCAGCAGGAGACCCAGAGGGAAACCCAGGACACACTGGAGGGACTATGTTTCTCAGCTGGCCTGGGAACGCCTTGGGATTCCCCCGGAGCCGCTGGCCCAAGTGGCTGGGGACATGTGGACGTCCCTACTGAAGCTACTACTCCCGCGACCCGACCTCAGATAAGCAGAAGAAATGGATGAATGGATTTATGAAGACCAGGCCCTTATGCCTCTAAATGCAATCTAGTGCAACAGTAGATGACGTTCACCTGTGCAATTTAATCTCAGAACAGCACAGCTTGTAGAGTCTATTATGGCTATTAATTACTAATAAACTTCTCCATCTGACTACCATGGAACGGTAGCAAGGTAAAAGAAAAGTAAAAATGTTATAAGATATGAAAAGAAATCCCATTTGAAACCAGGTATGATGAGGTGATTTATTTTTTATCACGTAATGTTTTTAGAGCTTATGGTTGATTTAAGTACCATACAAGACAGGATTTTTATGACCGCACACCAACAGCTAAGCAATAAGATTATTGACAGAGATTCTCATCCTATGAGGGCTGTATGATGTTCATGATTGTATGAGTGCGTAAAGACAGACAAGACAAAGAGAGTCCTCCCAGCCTGACTCTCAGTGTTGCCGTGGTGACAAGCAGTCTAAACAGGATGTCCTGTCTGAGACAGAGCCTTTTGTTCACGGGCTAAAAAAAGCCATGTTTGATTGGCTGAACACTGGGAATCAGGAAGAGTCCTCCTAAATGAACCCCCAATACAGTTTCAATAGGTGTTATTTTTAGCCAACCCAGACAGACCAAATGGGGAACTTTAAGAGGCAGATTTCACACCGCTGTACGTGTACAAACACAAGAGGCTCAAAGCCTGCACAGAGCAAAGGTTTCGTTTTTTCCTCCAAAGCGCTGGACGGCCACTGAAACGCATGCTGACACACAAAACAGGTGGGCCCCACCCTGCTGCCCCGCTGATCAAGGACAATGAAGTGAGGTGGTGTTGGCAGACTCTATACAGCATTATCTCATCCACAGCAGACACTTCTTTAAAAACCCCCACCCAACCACCCCAACCCCCTCACCTTGACCTCAGAGCAACATTACACAATAAAGTCTGAGCAGCACTCTGGTTTGCTTTCTGTGTGAGTAATCTAATGTATATTCACTCAATCTCTGGGACTTTATAGAGCGTGAGGGGAAAAAAGTGTTTCAGCTATGGTTAAACTGAAAGTGCTGGTTTGCATTTACTTGTTTTTGAATTTACTGTGCTTTGCACAGGCATTTATCTTCTTTCAACTTTTCTCACTTTGTTATGACACAATCATTAACCTCAATGTATTACAGTATCTTGGGATTCTGTCTGATCAAACAAATAAAGTTATAAACTAGGTGTAAAAAACCACCTTCTTTTGTTATTTGTATTTTTTGCAAAAGAAAAAAATATCTAAACAGCAGCACATGTATTCAGCCAAACTAACTTATTTCTTAGAACCACCCTGTGTTGCAGTTACATTGGTGTTTGCTTGTGTTTCTTTGTAAAAATATCTCAGTGCCAGTCAGGTTGCATGAAAATTATCTGTGATCATTCTCTTTTTCAACAAATTCCTATTGAAATTAGGTCTGGCCATTCTAACATAAAAATGCTTTGATCCACACTGCTGTTTTGATGATGTTCCAGCATTATTTAAATGATTTTTGACTTAGACTGGCTTCCCTGTGCCTGCTAAAGAATGACATCTTTCACAGGACGTTGCCCTCTGTATGTTTCAGGGTGCAGATGGTGTATTTAAAGTGATAAGCAAAGACAAATGGTTGCACTGGATATTAGTAGGGGAAGAAGTACAAATGGCATTAGATGTTTTTATGCTATTTGTTTATAATTTGGTGGATTTTAATATGTTGTCATGGCTCTAGAAATCTGGGATTTGACTTACACAAAGTCACAATCTGTTTTTGTACTGATTTTCTACCCACTTTGCTGTTGTTTCCAGGTAAAAAGAAGATGTCCCTTTATGACAGCCAGGCTCCAGTTTGTCCTATCTGCCAAGTGCTGCTGAGGCCCGGAGAGCTGCAGGAACACATGGAGACAGAAATCGAGAGGCTAGCCTCCATATGTCTGAGGTAGGTTGTGCAAGCCTATCTAATCTCTAAGATTTGTTTATGTTTTAACTTAATTCGTTTCTAATTTTGCATGTGCCAAACCATAACATCATATAATACTAAATCATGTTTATGGTTTAAAACAGGATGAGAAACACACTGCTTGAAACTAAAAGTAAAACCAGAAAACAACATATGAGACACTGGTTACTGTTGGGGTCATTTAACCTGTAAGGAGTGGGCTTTAGCTTAGTTCAGCCCTTCAGCTCACCAAGAAATAATTCTCTCTTGCACACATTTAGGTGCCATAAATCTGCATAAAATGGAGAAGCATGCCGTCAATGTAAAGCTAAGTGTTTCCTACAGGGATTAGGATTCACACCTGTGACCCCAGGTTCCACACCGCCTCTTTCTCCTCCTCGTGGCAGTTGCACGAGCCGTTTTACGAGGGATAAATCAACTCCAAGCCCTTTTAACGATGGGACACAGCCATTAGGATCCATATTTCACCTCAAACACATGCCGGCCTATGTATGTCTGTGCATGCGTGTTTGTATGTCTGTGTGTGTTTGCGTGACCCACTGTGCACTTTGGTGGCCTAGCTTTATGATAGTCCCCATTAACCCGGGGAAACAGGGCAGCAGACAGCATCACCCCGCATGGAAATCATACTTTATTTCCTGAACCATTACGCTGGTTGTGCTCCTGCTGTCCCTCTGCCTCTAAATCTAGGAGTTGCACCTCATCCCTTTATCCTTCCTTCCTACAATCACCCTCATCATCTTTTTTCTAGTTTTATCTCTTTATCCTCTTATCTCTTATTTTCTGTGTTTTTTATGGCTTCTTCTGTATCTCTCTTTTCATCTAGTCACAATGTGCGTATGATCAAAATCTTTTGTTTTTTTAAGTTCATCGCTACAAGCTATATGAAATGACATTAAATTATATCTCTTAATAGAGTTCAGAGGGCAAATACAGCAGGACTTTCTTTTATTTGTCATAAAGGCTCAAACTTATCACTGAATTAATCCAAAAAACTTCAACGTTTCTATTGATTTCTGCTCAATGAAAAAAAGATCTGATGAGAGCACTTTGGGTGTCCTAATTTTTAATATATATCCAGATGAATTGGTCATCAAGACTGAAGCTAATGACTAGCATATAAGGGGCTAAGACAAGTTTGAGCTACAATATGTTTACAACATCTCCAGTTGGAGAAAGCCCATAGTTGATTGTGCAAAAACGCATCAGAAAAAAATCTTTAAGTGATGATAGTCTAACTACCAGTAAGACTGAAGTTGTTTTTAAGTTGTTTTTTTTTTTTTTTTATTTCGAACTAAAATGTTAAGGTGATGGGATGATGTTCAATAGTATTTTTGTAAGCACAAGAGTCTAGTCTGTTGTTCTTTAATTTTGATGCATCTATCTGACAGACGCTATACCAATAAAAGATTAAAAAATCTGTAATGCTTTGTAAAAAAATTAAGATGAATTATTTTAAGCATTAAGGGGCAGTTTTGTGTGGCCAGAGATGAAAGTTTAAAGTAGCAGAAATGCAGAAAATCTAGAGTGCTTTGAAATCCCATTGCAAGATTGATGATTTATTGGAAATGTTTCAATATTACATACATCAAAAGATATTCTTATAAAATTTTTAAGGTAGGCTCTTTCCCATTTTATTCCTTTTCTTACATCAGGATGAAATAAAAGTGAAGAAAAAAGCCATTTATCCTGCTGTTAGGGTGCAAGAGTGTTTCAATTAATAATGAAGGTTAGAGTTTGTCCTTCCCTCTGGATACCAAACTGGGGAAGCTCAGGCCACACACACACACACACAGTTATTTAAAGAAATCGCATCATCCCTGGGTAAGATGGGATAGAGGCTAACGTCACGCCTGGCTGATTTACCTACTCACCGTTAACCCAGAGATACACTGTAAAAAAAAAAAAAAAAAGGTAGGGAGGGGGGTCACTGGATAATCTTATCAGTGTGAGCCCAAGTAAATCAAAAATAAATCTGTCTTTTATGAAGAAATGCCAAAATCTGGAGGGGAAAAAAGCAGTAGGGATGGCTTTCTATGTGTTATTTCACAAAACTAACCTTATGCTAAATCACTTTCTGCCTCTTCCTCTCTGTGGTTCTTTGCATGGTGGCAGCCATTATTGAAAGTGACAGTGGAAATTTGGTCCAATTTGTAGTAGATCTGCCTTTAATGACACACAGCGGCTGCTGAAATAAAGAGCCTCGGGTATGGAAACGAAGGGCTGCAAAAGCTGCATCTGTTTAGCTCCTGATATCTGATGTGGTCTGTGTGTCGCTATTTGTTTTCTGGTTCTTCTGTCTTTGCTCCTGTTCTGCCTGCTTGTAAATGTGTGTGGGTTGGATTACAACTGCCATCTTGTCCTCCCTTATGACTATGAGCTGTGTCTCTTTTTACATGGGCAACAACTTCAGGCACGGAAATCACACACAGATGTAGAGTGTGGCAAATGGAAATCTATCATGCCTTGTACATGTCAGTTGGCTCAGGGAGGTGGCAAAGAAATTTGCATATCCTATCATCCCCCCATCCTCCCTCTGCTGTCCCTTCCTCTCCGTCCTGTTCCATAATCAATTTACGTCGACACAGCAAAAACCCCATACCTGCCAAATGACACAAAAAAGTTAAAAGTAATCAGTATCTTAAGTCCACTGTTTCCTTGAGTCTACCTCCATGTCGTCACCAAATTCACATCCTTCCCAATGCAGCAGGGATGTCCATCACAAGTTACAGGGCCTTACAAAGGTTTTTCAGTTTTTCTTACATTTTGTTTACATTTTTTTCATGTTGGAACCAAAAACAGACATTTAATATCTTGGGGAATAGAATAGAATAGAATAGAATAGAATAGAATAGAATAGAATAGAATAGAATAGAATAGAATAGAATAGAATAGATCCTCAGCTTAGGTAGGGGCATCAGTCTTTGTGCACTACTCAAATCTGGCCTGTGTGGAATCCTGAAAAGAACATGTTTAAAGGAAGCTAAAAGAAGTCCAGCAGAGGACACAGCAAATGTGGAAGAAAAAGCTCTGATCAGATGAGAGCAAATGTGATCCTGCCTGCATAAAATAAAAAATAAAAAACTAGGACTGTTTAAAACTATCACCCTGAGCAAACAGCCTCATTGTTAAATCTGTCTGGCTAAAGATGTCATCATGGTATCGCTCTGTTATTTGGAAAAAGCCGAATTTACAGTCGAGAGTTATTTTAATTTAAGAAGTATGAAACTTTTTACAAAGCTTTTGACCAGGTGGGAGGTGGTGATTTACAAAGGAACAAAGGAATTCTTCAGGTAGGCAAAATATGCTTGCCCATATTAAACACACTAAAGAATCATCTACACTTAATCTATTTTATGTTCCACTTGCTCTCTTTAATGTTTTAGTTCTTGTCTGCATGTTCAGACTCAAGAAAAATAATATCCCTGCCTGAAGTGGTGGGACAGGACAAAGAGCTGTAGGAAGTAGTTGTTAGAGGGACCCTCATGCCCTCACCTGTCCTCCCTCTTCTCACTTACCTCATTATCAAAACACACTTTAAACTGTATCAATTCCAGCAGCTTGTTTGGTGGCTTCCTGCTCGCCGTGTTTCTTTCTTTTCTCTCTTTGACATGATGGCAGCCAGCTGGAGTTTTTAGGCCCCCTAACCCCCACTATCAAAAATTCATAGAACCAGACAAGCCGATGTGTAAAGCCGTAAGAAGAGGTAGCGCCAACTTTCCCGTCACTCCCTCTTTTTTATTTCTCTTATTCTCTGTCTCCTTTCATCATTGCTCTTTGTGTCGCCCGCTCATCCTCCTTTACCACATCTTTCTTTCACCTCACATTTCTCCTCCTTTTCCTCTCTCCTTTCATCTCTCCATCACCCTCTCTGTCAATGTGGCAATTTTCCCCCGTTTCGGCAGGCATGCAACTGCTGTCCCCTCTCGCTCCCTCTCTTGTCGCTGTTTGACACTGTCAACAAGCAGGTGGAGGTGGCTGTTATTGTTGATGCCTCTGCAAAGGTTCTAGGTAATGAATAAAAGAGAGATAGAGGGAGAGGGGGCGAGAGAGATGAGAGTGGCAGAGATAGGAACGAAGTAAAAGAGGTGTGTGCGAAGCAGAGGGGGAGGTTGGCAGATTCAGCTGCATTACACGGCAGCCTGGTTGTGTCAGCCCTTGTTGGCTTTCTTTGTTGCTGAAGGGGAGGCCAGCGCAAACATGTAAAAAAGCAGGTGCACATGCACAGTTGTAAATGCAGAACTGAAATACCTTTCACATATATTGTTAGTAAAAGTTTGTAACATGATATTTTTTTGTCATAATTTATTGCTCACAGTGTGTGAGCTATTTACCAGATTGTGAATTTAAGCTTATCTTTATATGTTTTGAAATATTGAGGATCATTGTACTGAATTTAGATGAGTCCAATGGAGGCCCCACAAAAAACCACCGTTAGATTAGAGCCCTTACCTCTGTTCCTTTCAAAGCAACACAACTATATGAACAATACAATTCAATTCAGTTTATTTATATAGCACCAATTCAGAACACATATCATCTCAAGATGCTTTACAGACACAATTCAACCAGATCATACATTTAAATTGATTCAAAGTTTTTTATCTAAGGAAAACCAGTAGATTGCATCGACTCACTGACTCGAAGGCAATCCCTCACACCAAGCATGCTTGTAGCGACAGTGGAGAGGAAATACTCCCTTTTAACAGGACAGGTTTTTTTTGCATAAATGAGGTCATATTCTCACAGACTAATGTGCACGTGTTACGTGACTAATTTCTTTTTGCCTAATTTTCATGACAGTGCCACATACAGATCAGCCATTGTAACTATCCACAGTTAACAGCAAATGACAACAAATAGAAGGAATCAAAGTTTTTTGAGCGAGCACAAACACAATCTAAGATAAAGGCAAAATAAAACGTCTATTTTATTTCCTGATCCATCCTCATGTCTTTCCATACTTTTGGCAAGTTGTAGAGCTAAAAGTTTTTCAAACTGAGATAAAAGATTTTTGAGGGACATGGTGTAAAATCAAGGGCTGGTGAAGTGTAGAAGCAATTTTACAAAACTTTTCTTTTTCATTTAATAATATTGGTACAGCAAACATTTCCTAAGTTTAAACTAAAGCTATTATTAGGGAATTTATATAACCTTTCTTTCCGTTCTGTAGTTTGTATCATCCTTTTAGAAGAATTTACTAAATATAATCTCAACCCTTATCATATGTGACCTAAAGTATGCTTTTACATGAGCTCTATTTTCCCAAGAACCATATTAGGTGGATAAAGAAAAGCATTCAGAACCAAACATTAACATCTGCCCTAATCTTAGCCTGAGCTGAATTTGTTATTAAGACGAAGGGGACATACAGTACAACCTAACACCAGCTGCACCAGTTCTGTTTGGAGGAACAGGACAACACTCCAAGAAACTGTTGTGAGAGGAAAACCGAATCAATTAATCCAGTGCTTAGGGGTTAGAAAAGCTGATCATAAAATTTGGTAAAAATTAAAAAACCAGAAGATGTTTTTCTAATTTAATGACAAGGATTGAGAAAATATGCTATATATGTTTTTTTGAAGACGTGTAAACAAATGATTAAAAGTTTTACCAACTGTTCTACACCAGCTCTTCCCTTAGAGAAGTTACATATAAATAAAACCTCTTATTTCTATAATTTACCCATTCAGCCGTTGAATAATAAAATCCCTTGTCTACCAAGGCGTGCTGTCAGATTAGAGGTTGCGCTCAATTCAGTTTTGGGCACTGTTCCTTCCTCGATCTGCCACTGTCTGTTAGTCTGTGTGTGTATGAGTGAGTGGCTGCGCCTGTGCGAGCGTGTCCGAGGGTCTGGACTGCTAACAGGGTCTCAAAGCAAACATGACAACCCTGCCTCGCTGTGTCAATGTCAAACCTGTTGCAACGCTTCATGAGGCTCGGAGAAATCTATCTCTGTGTTTGAGTGAAAGAAGGCAAAGGAAAGAAAAGGGCGCCGAATAAAAGAGAGGAAGATAGAAGGAAGGAAGAGTAGATCGATTGAGAATGAGTGTATCAGAAAAAGCCATCAGAATGGAAAAAAACAATGCAAAATGTCACATGTCTAGTTTGATAGCAGAATAAAACACAAAGCTGTCTATTTTATACATTTTGACTTTCCATTCTTAACATCCAATCTAAGCTGTCTCACTTGTTTCCAGCTAGAGCGAGCCAAATGATGGCCTTAAGCTCAGACTTCTAGTGATCGCCCTTCAGCAACACCCACACATTCTGCTGTTCTGTTTGCATATTGTGAGCATAAAGAGATGAATGAGTAGCTTTTAAGTGATAATTGCTGTTACTACTCTAAGAAAGGAAAGCAAGCAATAAATAAAAAAGGCTTAAGGCAAAAAAGAAACCTGTAAATATGTAAATGCATTAATAAGAATCCCCTCAATTTCTTGCTGATGTGGTTAAAATGTACATATACTGCTTGTTTTATCCAGGAAAACAGCTAAACATGTATGCAATGTGTGCACAGACTCTGCTCACCTCAGTGTACTGAATCCACACTTATTTCCCTCTTGTCCTTTTTTTCTGACTGCAGTAAGAACCCCTCATCCAAGGATGGTGTTGCCACTCCAGGAACTCCCAAGGTAAGGATACACTCATTTTTCAGAACAGTGTCTGCCTTATACATGCATGTAATTTACATGTTTACATATAATATCGTTGGTATGACTCATCACTGTCAAGTTTTCATATGCATGTGTTTCCCCAGAAGAAATCCATATACATATTTTCTTATACTCCCTTCAACTATCCATGTCCAGTGGTTCAATAGGCAGCTGGTCCGAATGGAATTGTACTTTTCTTTTTCCAATAAAGGATGGACTCGAATCAAAAGAGGAATAGGATTAAGAACTTTTTCCTGAACTAACCAGTCCTAGACTGGGAAAATCACAGACTTTTGTGTATTTCAACAAAAATAGTGTAATAGACAATCATAGTGAATAATTTTTTTCCGGATGGAAAATTAAAAACTTTTTTTTTTTTTTTTTTTTTTACTGATAGAAATCCTAAAGGTTGCATTTGCATCCTGTCCTGTTTTACTCTGAGAACTCTAAAAAAAACAACTATGAACAGCTTCTCTGTGTCATTGAATCTGAGTGTAAACGCAGCTTTTCTATCAAGTCTTAGAGATAGATATTTACAGAACAGATTGGTGAAATGTACGCAACACCGTAGGCCCTAGAAAAACCTCTTATCAGATGAGACGAAAAGATATCACCATGACAGCACCCCAGCATCCCATACACTAACTCCTAGTGGTGGCCACATCATACATTTTTTAGCAGCGACAGCTACGAAGATTTGAGCTAAATGTTTGGTAATCCAGATAAAAATAACCTAAATTGACTTGAAATAAATTCCTACATCCAATCGGGTAACAATAAATATATAGCCAGAGCTGAGATTGAAAGGTTTAGATCAAAGAATCTTAGTGAGATAGAGCTATTTTGTAAAGTAAATGTCTGGATGTTCAAAGTTGGAAGAGGTATACTTCTGTCATGCCCCCAAGGAAATAGTTGCTCTTAAAGTATTGATTAGGGATTATTTGCAAAATCCGCACTACAGTTTTTAATTTCTTATCATTTTTTTTCTCTGTTACCATAGGGACATAAATTACTGGTTGAAATATTCAAAAGAAATTAACAACTTTGCAAAGCGTAATAGAAAAGTTCCATTCAAGCCAAACAGATTTTAGACAGTTTTTTAGCATATTTTTGACTTAATTATTTTCTATTATTTTATAAAGAAATAATTTGAATGGTGACATCCTGAAAGGCCAAACCTAAGCAATCGTCTCCATATGTGTTGTCTTCCTCTAATCGCAGCACAGGTGAAAGTCGAACACTGTGTTGCAAAGAACCTTTGACTTGCATATGAATCCACCAGGGATCCTGAACAAATCAGTGGTGTTTTAGCCCCAACACTTGGGTAGAAGGTGCTGACCTGGGCTTAAAGAAGAGCTCACTGCGGTGCGGATGGGCTTGTACTTGAGTAAGACAGGCGGAGGAGGGTTGAGGGGTGAGCGCTGGCCCTCCTCTGCAGCCGTGACTGTGCATCTTGCTGCTAATGTTTAGTATTCTGCAGCAGGCCATAGAGAATGAAGAGGGGCAGTCTGAAGCATATGGGCTTGTTGTTGTTCTCCCCTGGCTGCTATGCACCACCCACCCATTTTATACCCAGGATTAACCCTAAAACATCTCCTTATGTCTCTTTGAGTTGTACTTGCAAGGTAGTTTCATAATTACTTGCAATGTAATTTCTGTGAGCCATATGAGCCTATGAGCCACATGGTCAGATATATCAGCCATGGATATTGTAACTTACTTCTTAAATGCTTCTGGTTTTGCACTGATCTTTTTCCATGTTGATTTAATTAGTGCTTCTTAAAGACCACATTTGGAGATAGACCTCCATCTACAACCTCTTTGTAGATTACCATTAAATGTCATATTCTAATGATAAAACTTAAATATATTCCATGACTGCCCCCAGGTAAAGGATTCCTGACCTTTTTAAACCTGTAAAAAAGGAGAAAGACCAGACACACATACATGCACACACACACATTCATGCAGGCAGAAAAGCACCATGCATAATGTCCAATTTACTGTGGCAGCACTGGAGGTTGGTCATTTCTCACATATTATTATTAGATTACTGCTGTCGAGCACTTAAGCCTCTGCTCTGCCCCTTTCCACTTGATTAATAGAAGACGACTGTAAATACAAATATTTCACAGCTGCCTTGTAAAAAAACGAAAGCAGCCGAATAGGCAAAAATGAAAATACAAGTATGGAGAGAGAGTAAGATCTGAGTGTTGTTAAAGAGAGACATTACTGTACGTTTCTCTTTCTCTCCTGTTCTCTCATATGTGATCATCATATCACTACCTTCTTCTTACAACCCTTGCTCCTTAGTCACTTGTAAGAGTCCCCTGAATGTCTTTGACATGGAGAGTGGGTCAGAAGAGGAAATTCTTTTATACGTGTGCAGGAGCGGCAGCACATACTATTGCAGGACAGATTTATGGACAGGCAGTGTTCTGTAATGTCAGATGTTTACCCTCTCTCCTGCCAACGCTCTCCTGCACTTCCTTCTGTTCTCCCTAAGGGCTTCCTCACTTTCCAATTGCTCTTTCTTCCCTAACTCCTCTTAACGTCCCATAAACATTAAGTCTAATCAGAGGAAGGGATTTTATAGACAAAGTCAGGCAGGTTACAGTCATCATCGGTGACGTGTTGCCCTTAGCAGCTGAGGCAATAACACTGCCGGAGTTCTCCAAGGGTAATGATTCTACGTCTTTTTTATGTCATAGAGCTTTGTAATACATAAATAAACTTTAATCCTGTGTAATGCACGAACAAACTTCTTTCTAAGATTCTGCTGCAGTTTTTTACAGTAAATTGTAACAATTATTGCTGCTTGGATTTGCATTATACAAATGTTTGGGGTTCAATTCTAACACATTATGTGATGCTTTTAATTGTCTCCCCTCAAATCTTTATCTAAGGAAGATCCCCTGCTTCTGTGCTATTTCGCTACAATAGTAGCTGCTGTTTACTAATCAATAAACACATTGAAATCTGTTTTAAATGAAATGTACACGTAGTCAGGTACTAATTTATTCTCCCTGAACTGAAACTTTTTAGATTCATTGTCCACCATGCTGCCTAGGCAGAAAAACAGAACAGAGAAGCTATCCCCCAATGAGCCACAATTAAATGCTGCAATACATATGTGTCTTTTTTTACAGTACATTCATTTGAGGTCTTTGATGTTATATGAAATATCTCTAAGTAACATTTTTTTTTACAAATTCAATAACTTATTTGGTTGCTGGTTTCCCTTTGTCTTATAATTTGGAGTGTAAAAGAAGTCACCTGGTTTTAAAATAGCATTCAGCTTAGATATAATTTTTTCAGTAGATCTATGTACTTCTTTGGTTCTTGTTCTCCTTTATACAGCTCTCAGTCTGCAACATGTTCCATTTTAAACATTTCTACATTGCATACAATTTCACTTATTTTGTGCTGCATTTCTGTCTCTGCAGTCTATGCTTTTGTCTGTGCACATCAAGAGAGAGGGGGAATCTCCGGTGGTGTCACCACTTTCATCTGAGGATGCCCACCACTCCGACAGATATCAGGTCACACAAACACGGACACACACACAAGCTTCCAGGCAATCATTTATAACAACATTAGTTATACTTTGAAGTTATACTCTTTTTTTAACCAGAAGGTTCTCACTTTAATGTGAAATATTAGAAATATATGTATATAAGTAATTTCATGTCATTTGGTCTGTGAATTCAAGTATGTTTCATTCTTTTTCAAACCATTCAGCTCAGGGTAAATGATTATTTTTTGATTTCTCAAAATCAGTATTTCATCTGTACATTTTTTTTAACTTTTCTCCCTTATGGGCTTTTATTTAATGGGCCTCTTAATCTAAACAGATGTTCAAAGTAAGGCGCACTTAGACTGTGAAAACAGTGTACTGAAAAGTATTTAGTCATAAAGTGCAGTAAAGGAATAATGGCGCACATATCAATTAAGCCGAATAAAAATGTAAGTTTGTAAGGTTTCTCGTGCCTTCTCAGCAGTTAAGTTAAATAACAGATCAATCTTGTTTAATCTCAGATTTCACCCTGACTTTTATCACTTCTATTCATCAAAGTTTGTTCAGGATATTCTTCTGCCGATGATGTATCTCTAGGTTAAGTGGGTTTCCACCTTAACACCATAAAGAAGGAACTATTAAGTCCATGTGGACATTACATCCATACATTTGGGATGACTTAGCTCATAAAGACCTTAAAGCAATAAAGGAGATTTTCTCATTTGGTGAAACTGCTGAAATCACCTTATATTATACAAATGATTAAGTCGATGGTGACTTATTTTAACACCTTGAAATGAAGCATAATGGAAGACTTCACCACCTCCTCTTTTTTAGTCAGGTCTGAGTGCTCTATGCTTTCTCGTGTCTCCTGGAAATCTGACCTATCCTCAGCCGTTCAGTGAGTGTATCATAATGATAAGGTTGTGGTGGTGATGCACAGCCAGTGAGCCGATAACTCTAAGAATGAAGATGGGGAGAAAAAAAATCAGAGAGGGGAAGGTGAAGGCCTGGTTGCTCAATAGTCTCCACTAATAGCAGATGGGCTGACAATAAGTGCGCTGTTGCAGTACCAAAGAGAGTGTATCTATAACTGTAAGAGGAAATACTTTAGTCAGCATATAGTTACCACATACAGTGCTTTACTTTGAGTCCCGGTAGATCTTAGGGATACATTCTGTAAAAGACAGAGGTGGATAGGCCAAATGAGTCTGACCTCAATTAATTGGATAATACTGTACATTTATTGCTGAAGCCATTATTTTTAATGATGCAGGTAATTCACCTGAGGCAACCTGAAGTAGCTCAGACCTCAGATATGCCCACAACACCCCCACAAATGATTAATAATTTATCTTGTAACTGCTAGTGACAAATAGCACATTGACTCAAGTACAGTCTTAGAAGTTCTACAGATTCTACTGTGTCTCCTCTGCAGAGGACAACCCTGCCCTTGAGTAATTTACATATTGTGTATATATATCTATATATATAGATATAGATATATAAATTTTTTTAATTGGAAAATGTGTTCACAAAATAGCTTAATCATCACTCTCTAGTATTTGCACTGCATGAATACGGGCAGCAAGCAATGTGAATCCAACTTAGGAATGCTTCATAATTTTTTAAACTGTTGTTGAGTTAAAGTATTTCATATTTTAGTTATTGTTTAATGTAAATAACTAGCAGAGGTTTGATTTGATCAGAAGAGTTAATCTCTCAAATTATGTAAGATTGAAACTATATGTGAAATTAGATCATTTTCATTTCTATATTTTTTACAGTTTATTAAAATTTTTAGTTAAAATTAAATGATAATCAGTGATTAAAGGACTTAGCAGTTAAATTGTTTATGGTGCAAAATGAATGAAAGAATAAATTAAATGACATTATATGGATAACTGAAATAACTGTCAGGGAACGTATTAGAGAGTTTCTACCTACAGTCTCTTCACCATGGTTTGAGTGACCTGAAAACCCTGTTTTCTAGTGCAAACAGGGTACCATATTTCTTAATAACAACCATAAAGTTGTTTATAAATGTAAAGAAGTAGGTAAATGATACACTAAATTTGTTAATTCCTTTTTGTCATTTAGAGTGACCTCTGTGAAGGTCTCATAAAAACTCTTTATGGAGATCAGGACACAGATCGTGAGTCTCAGAGAATGTAGATGATGGATTATACAATCACAGAGCACTGTTAACAAACATACAGGAATATGACTATTCACCTAAAATATCAGGTCCTTGGTAACTCTAGAGATACTTAGTTGAAGTGTCTATAGATAGGACAAATATTAGTCATTCTTACACTAATGAAATCTGGCACTTTACCTTTAATGTTCTATTTACCTTATGCAGAAATAATAAAGTGAGTTTATAACAAAGGCAGTTATAAAGTGAAAAAGTTAGATTTATATATATATATATAATATAGTAATATATAAAATATAGGGGAATAAATTATAGCTACAGTATCTAAGATTAACTTTTTAACCTGTTGTATGGTTCTAAACCATATTAGATAACTAAAAAGATGTTAAAAAGATAAAGATTTTGAAAATTGGGGAGGGGGTTTCAGAAGTATAATACGACCTATTTATTTAATGACAGTTTCATATGTGTAGTACGGTATTATATTGTATCTCTTGAAGCGTTAGTATGAAACCCGCTGCTTCCCCCTAGTGTCCAAAAGACGAACTGACAACTAAGATCTGCCTGGGTGCTGTTTGGTCGGTCGGATGTGGATGGTCGTTTGGTGCATGGCGCGTGTTTTGAAGCTGCTTATGGAGAAATGTCTTGGGCCGTGAGTAGTGAGGAAACAGGAAGCGATTCTTGTGGGATGGAAGAGGGAAATAGTGACAATGAAGGGTGGAAGATAGCAACATCAAAAAATGAGAAAAAGCGGAAAAAACAGAGATCAGTTCAAGGGGAATCTAGTTCAGAACAATCCAGTGATGATCATTCCATACATTCCACAGCACAACAAAATGAATTCAAAGTCATATTCAAAGTCGTTAATCAGGCAGACTCTTTTACAAATTGGAATCCGGTTCACTTAACAAAAACCATCAATAAACTTGTCGGAGAAGTCAGAGGTGCCAGAATTCTGTACAGTGGAGACCTGCTAATTAACTGCAGAGACAGCGCCCAGCAAGGCAAAGCAATACGGATCAACAAAATTGACGGGATAAGAGTTCAGTGCAGCCTAATGGAGAACAAAAAGATCAGCAGGGGAGTCATTGGAGGAGTTCCTCTAAAAATTTCTGAAAAAGAGATTCTGGAAAACATAAGCGGTGCAAAAGTAAAAGAAGTAAAACGGTTAAAAACAACAAGAAACGGAGAAAGATCTGACAGTTTATCAGTGCTAATTAAATTTGAGGAAGAGCAATTACCAAGCAAAGTATTCATCGGTTACATAAGCTATAATGTCAAAATCTACAATCCTCCACCATTGAGATGTTTCAAATGCCAAAAATTCGGTCACATTGCAGCAGTTTGTAAAGGGAAACAGAGGTGTGGAAGGTGTGCAGGAGAACACGAATATGGTAAATGTGGAAAAGAAGCTATAATAAAATGCTGTAATTGTGGTGGAGAACATACTGCTGCTTATCGCGGCTGTGAAGCAAGCAAAAGGTCTGAGGAAATTAAAAAAATGAAATTTGAGCTCGGAATAACCTACGCTGAAGCTGCAAAAAGGATCCCATCTCAGTCAGAAAAACCCAAACCTACAGTTCAACACACGGCAAATTCCAAACCTCTAGAGAATCAAAAAATTGATGAAGACTCACTTATTGTTAAAAAGACAAATTTTGTTCTTTTCATGGTAGAAGTAATTAATTGTACTGCACAGACAACAAAAAAAACGGAAAAAATCAAAATAATAGTGAAGGCTGCAGAAAAATATCTGGACATTAAAGATTTGAACTGGGAGATGGTTGGAAGTATGATGGGAGGACCGATGGGACCATCAGAAACTGGCAGAGTTAAGATGACCTAGAGTAAATTAAAAATTATATGGGCAAATGTGATTTAGTATTATGTTGGTTTAAGTTACACAGGTTTTTTTTTTTTTTTTTTTTTTTTTTTTTGGGGGGGGGGGGGGTGAATCGTTTTCTGTTTTCTTGCTTTACTCCATATCAGTTGGTGGCGGTAATGCACAATTCACAAGTCTGCCAACCGCCATAAAACCCCATAAGAAGAAGAAGAAGATCTGCCTGCTTCCGTTTCCCGGACGGTCACGTGATCACAACAAGCCAACATGGCGTCAGACATGAGAGCTATTAGCCGAGCCGGGCGCCACTTTCAATCCTTTTCCATCCATTTGAATTTATAGTCCTAGTGTTCAGTTTGCTGTGATGCAGAGTATCTGGTAGACCTGAGCTCTGTGCTGCAGCGAGTTTAAGGCAGGCCGCCGACAGGGAGGCAAGAAAGACATGGAGGAGTTGGAAAACAAGAGAGAAGTAGGTGGAACTGTTTACGTTAGCGCCCCCGAAAGTATCCAAAGCAATCCCAATCAGAACAGCGAAATTTGCACTTGAAAACACTGCATTTTGTCTAATTACCATCTCATTAATATATCTTCTCTCTCCTTTTTTTCTTTTCTTACAGACATTTTTACGAGTTCGGGCAAACAGGCAAACGAGATTGAATGGTATGTACACACATCAGTTAATGCCCTGTTTAATTTGATAATCATATACTTCAGCTCTCCATCACTTTGTATGTAATACAATGATTGTGAAATCAATCCTGATTGTGCTTATAAAATGTCAATAGCAAAGATGTAACCTAAATAGATATTGCTGAATGGAAATTACAATTAACTTACCTTTTTAACTGATTTACAAAATGTTAAAGAACAAATTAATGAAAAAAAACTGAATAAATGGACTGAGTTGTGACTGAGAAGACAAATGGCCTTTTTTAGTTTTGCTGTCATATGTAGTGTTGTTTATGTTATGATGTCATAACAGGTTGTGGATGATTTCCTTTTTTCATTGCTTAATCTGTTCTACCAGTTAGATAATGTATACAATTTTTTTTAATCTGAAAACAAGCTTTTTTTAACAAAAAAAAAAGCACTTTACACTTTAGCAGTTGCAAATAAAATGAAAAAGTGATTTAAGTGTGTGGTTTCAGTAAGTGGGGTTCTTGAAAAATGTCCTAAGAAGTCTCCATACTGCTTAAAATTTTAATATTTTGTCAAGTTAAATCCACTATCCTGAGTTTGTTTACTGACATTATGTGAGCTAAACCAACACAAAGTGTCTAATAATTAAGGAAAACTGACATGTCTTCTAAAGCTTTTAACAAATAAAAACCTGAAAAGTGTGGCCTGCTTTTGTATTTTCTCTCCTTCAGTCTGATACCCCAAAATAAACATCAGTACAATGTTGGATGTTAATTAAGTAGTTAACACAGTTCATCTTCGCTTAATTTCATTAGTCCCGTTAAAAAAATACAGTCACAGGTAAAGATACAGATTGAGAAATTTGAGTCAAGATTAGCTTATGAAAGCTCTGTTAAGTCCATTATCTGAAAATGGAAGAAGTGTGGGCCAAGTGCAAAGCTACCTGTCCTTATACTGACAGGATGGCGGTAAGGATAACATGAATCACAAAAGTTTTACCTCTGGAGAAGCTGCCAAGATTCACAAAGATGGTAGTCTGTTGAACTAGCTTTTTGTTTAGCACCAATAAATCATTAAAAGAAAGTCATGAAGAGTCTCATCTGCGATTTAGGGGAAACCTCAAAAACAAAGGGAAAGGGGGGGTGCTTTGAAAATGTGAGACCAAAACTGAATTCTTGCATAACATGTGATAAAGAGAGGAAATGGGCTTTCAACAGAACATCAACGCTAAATATACAGCTGGAGCTGCAGTGGAATTCTGTAGATGACAAATTACTGGTCAAAGTCTGGACCTAAATCTGGTTCATATTGATCTTCATGTTCTCCATCCAGTCTGTGACTGAGGTTTGCAAAAAAGAAAAATAATTAAAATGTTAAAAGCTGATAAGACTGTAAACAGTTGTTTATCGCAGGGCTGCCTAGCATCAATGCTAACCACACTTCAGATTTCTCTGGGGATGAACTGAAAGATATTCCTTACGTTAAATATTATGTTATCTGCTGCATTGTGTTAGTTTATCGCAGGAAATCCCAATAAAAGACTTAAATGTTTTTGGCTTTATCCTTTAATGTCAAACAAAAAGTTGTTTTGCAAAGGCACAGTTTTGATTAGCATCATGTGTCCGCATAGGGTGTTTAAATTTTTGCCGTTCATAATTAGCAGCCTTTTACCCTCTTTAAACAGGGATGCTCTCGATTAGTGTCAGAGAGAGAAATGGCGTGAAAGCCCCTTCTTCCATCGTTCCCTCCATATTCTTGCCCTGCAGTTATGGCATGCTGCCTTATGTCCTCCTCTTCTTCTCCTCCCTCTCTGTTTCCACTCTCTCTTGGCCTCTTCTGCTTTCCCAGCCAGCTAAAAATTAATGTCCTCGTGCGCCATTTGCAGTTAAGAAAAAACGACAGAGACTCAGGGTTCAATGACGGCTGTTCGGCCCTGTTAAATTTCTAATTAAATGTGTGGGTGGATGGGCGAGGGGGGGCTAAGGGTATGCCATGACAGGAGGGAGGCGAGGGGAAGAAGGGAGAAACAAAAGGAACAGAGCAAAGGCACTGATGTAGAGAAAAATGAAGGGGTTGAGACTGTCACGTCAGACTGTGTCACGCAGAACATCTTCCTGAAGGTGGCATGTTGAGATTTAGGCCTTTTCCAAAGAGAAATATCTTTATTTATATGTGTTTTTTTTCTCTGTTGTTGTCCTTCTCCAGCTCGTATAGGCAAGATGAAGAGGAGGAAGCCTGAGGAGGGTGGGCAGGTATGTCCGCTGTGCAGCGCCCCATTGGCTGGGAGCGAGGAGGAGATGAGTAGACATGTGGAACAATGCCTGATCCAGGTAGTACAATCCCGGCCCTAGAACCCCGCCTACCGCCACCTGGACGGCCTGTGTCTTCCCTTCTTTTCCCACTCACCTCTCTACTTCCTGTAGATTCTCAACAGTCCCATTCATCCTCAACTGTAAAAACAAACCATAAGAGTCACTGGATCATCATATTGGATTAACTGCGAATTATTTGAACATAAAGCTAAATAAATACTGGAATATTCACGCTGTTTTCATTCAGAATGGTGTGCTTTTAAACCAGCCAGCTCTCATCTACAGTTATCCCATGTGACCCTTGGTATGTCAAACAGGAATCTAGAAGTAGCTCCCACAATGGGTTTCTCCTCACCTGTCCCTGCTATACATCACAGCTGTCATCTCTTTTAGAGTAGATCTGGGATAAATCATTGCTTCTGATGAACTCCTTCTCTATCTCATGTCACCAATCGCTAGCTGTCAAACTACACAGATATACTAATCTCTCTTCTTCTCCGGCATGACTTAGATCCATTAGCGACTTTACTTTTGCAAGTGTTCTAAGCTGATGTTTTTTCTATGTTGTGTAACAGTAAAGGGAGGCTAGCGTACACTGCCTTGCAAAAGTTTTTGTTTCGATCAGAGGTGCTGATCTCTCTTATATATATTAACGGATGGAATTATACATGAAATTTAAGCTTCTTTGTCACATTTTTGCCCCTCAGTCATTAAAAAGTGGCTTAAGTCCAGTCGGATTTAAACACAGATTGACTCTTATTTTCTAGAGATGCACCGATCCAGTTTTTCCATTCCAATCGGATACGATACCTGGGCTGAGAGCATTGGCCAATATCTGATACTGATCTGATTCAACTGTTAAATGGATTTACCATACATCTTTTCATGTGGGAAGGCTTTAGTCTTGACATAAACATTTTTTTAAAAAGATAAGAAAATGTACACAAAAGTAAATTTACTTATGTATTATTTATTAAAAACTAAGCAGCAAAAGAAAGAAAGATCAGTTCCACGTAGGGATTAGGGGTGTAAATAACACCCATTATGGTGATTCGATTCAGTATCGATTTTCTGATCCAACGATTCGATTAGTTTCGATACTCTTTTCACCTTACAGGCTAGACAATGTTTCAAATTAGAAATTTATCACTGAAAGCTGTAATATTGTTATGCATTTTATTTGAGAAAAAACTGCAAAAAACAGAAGTAGAAAAGTTGTACTCCATAATGCCCCTGCGTTATAGATTCTGAAAGGCTTTGCATCAAAAAAATACTGCACAAAATCAGTGCAATGCAATACCTCTGCTCCAGAGTGTCAACGTCCCCGCCCCCTCCTCAGACACTCCGCTGCACCTCTCCCAAATTGTAGCTGACTGCAGACAGGAGGTTGGCTTGTTTTGTTTTTCTGGCCGAAATTGCGGAAAACAACTCATGAAGTTTGACCCACTAGAAGAGCGATGTGCGCGAGAACGCTGAGACCCTTTTTCTACCTGGATCTCCGCTCTTATTGGCCCTCATGTCGCTCCGTTGTCAGACTAAACTCGCCCCCAATGCCTCCCCGCCTCGGCCGTATCTAGACCCCCAGCGTGTAGCACAGACCACGTTTCAACATTGGGCATAAATAAAAACTGTCTGTGTCAAGCTTACTGTGACACACTGCTGCAGGAGTATAACCAGGAGGCGAGGTAGGAGGGCAAAATAGGTTTAGCGACACCTCAGCACGGGAGGGAGAGTTACGCCCAGGTGCAAATGGATAAAAATAGACCGGGAGACAAAAAAAAAAACATGAATCGATACTCTTTGGACGTGTCGATGCATCGGATCGTCGGCTGTTGGATCGATGCATCGATACAAAATGATTATTATTTACACCCCTAGTAGGGATGAACAATTAATTTGATTAATTGTGATTAATTGGTTATTTAAATAATCGTCAATGAATTAAGTAATCAATTAATCATTAACTGGAGTATAGAGCCTCTAAAATGTGCCTTTAGCTGACAGAGTGACCCACTTAGAGCTGTAGTTATACCAAAATTGCAAAAAGAAAAAAATATTTCAAATATGTCCATTAATACGATCTACCCAGAGCTCCTGAAGTGGAAATTTTTTGTTTCACCTGGTTTAATTCTGCAAAAAAAAGTTCTTTAAGCTATCCTTTTGCTATCCGATTATTAATCAAAAAAAGAATCGACACATTAATGGATTAGCAAATTGATCGTTAGTTGCAGCCCTAGTCCCATGTAGAGTGCTCTGGATTGGCTCGCCTATATCCGATATCTAATCACTGATATCCCATCCTGCTAATTAGTCAATATTGGAGCAGATATCCGATCCAGGTATCAGATCGGTGCATCTCTATTACTCACTAAGAAAGTGACTTTTAAAGGGAGTTAATTGTTCAGAATTTTTATCAGATTAAAGAGTTAATACAAACATTTTCATAATATTTATATAGCGGGAATCAAAAACATACACAACCGTCCTTCCATTTCACAGTGATTCAGTGATGAACAGTTATTCAATAGAATAAAACTTGTGTTTTTAATCTGGCACAAGGTGAAGGCCTTAAAAGGGTATGAATACTTTTGCAAAGCATTGTATATTAAATCCTTTAATGATGATTCTCCTGAAATACTGTATTTTACTTGAATGGAATATATTAAAGTGGTATAATTTTGATGTCTGTATATAGATGTCTGTTAAATTTTTGCAGCAGATCAATATCTACATGTACACTTGTAAAGGCTGGGTTAATATTTAGTGTAACTGTATAGAGTTAGAGCTTAAGATGAGAAAAAATAGGCCAGCTTTAAATCTTGTACTTGAGTAGAGTAGAAGTGGCGAAGCCTCATCTTATAACATTGCGGTAAAGAAAAAGTAAAGCATGTATGGGTTTCAGAGTCATGGTTCGCATTTATGGTGAAGGAATGTAGAGTTAGGCAGTTATCTTCTGCTAAATCTGTTTGGAGAAAAAAAATCCTTTTTTGTTTGTGTGTTTTGCTTGCCAGCGTGAGGGAGCTTTGGCCGATGAAGACTCTGCAGACATGGATGGAGAAAACGGGCGGGGCTTCGATGAGTATGAATGGGCGGGGCAAAAGAGGATCCGAGCCACAGCTTTACTGGAGGGAGGCTTCAGAGGTAAAAAAAAAAAAAACAATCTTTTCTCCCATCTTTATTATCATCTCATCTAATTGTTGGTAGTATTCCCCACTAATGGAAAAAGGTTGTGTGTTTTTGGGGGGTATCTGATGGTATAGGTGTCTGATGTTGTACTTTGGGATGACTGACTGACCTCAGACGTCACATTCAGTCCCAGCAGTTTGTTCTCTCCTCCTCCCTCTTCTGTCGCCTCCTCCTCTGTTTCCCTGCTCATCCATCATTCACCGCGCTGCTGTCCAATGTGAGCCCCGTTAGCTCTCTGAGTCCGGCGTCAAATATGACCAGCGAGCGGTAATGGTACTTGTGGTTTAGCTGCAGCGCAGGCTGGCCTGGGGTCAGCCTGACTCGGCTTTGGCTGAACCCCACACAACCCTCTGTGCGAAAGGAAGGAAAACACATTTAGCTGGGCAATTGACCCACTGGTCAGCGCTTCGTGTGTGTGCCCAGAAATGCAATTATGGAGCCGGATAGGAGAGCTGGTCATTGGGGAGCACAGCAGCAGCGGCTCAGGGACACAGCATAACCTATGTTGAAGCACTGTGCTCACTATGGGCCTCCGTTAATGTTAAGTTTCTGGAAATTACATAAATTCTTTGTCTTCTTTACACTTCTTTTGCCTCCAAAAAGTTATATCTATTCATATTTGGCAGACAGTTATTGTAAACCTTCTTAAATGTTATTTAGTTGCTTTAAAACAAATCTAATTATCAATATAAGTTAATTTCACAATACTATGGCATAATACCGGACAGCCTCTGCCTAGCTAATTTGTTTTTTTAATGTACATTATTTTTATTTTGCTGTAAGCAAAGTGTTTTAGGATTTATTTTCCTTAAATCTTTGAAGAAAAAAAAAGGAAATTAGATTTCTAAGCCAGAGATTAATTTGTTTTGAAAAGAGGTGTGTTGCAGCTCTATTAGAAGTCCAGCATAAATTAAAGCTGCGAAAACAATAAATAAATCAACCTGGAATTTATTATTATACATGCATTAAATAGGTCTTTCCAAAATTGGTCTTCAAAGAACTTAGCTCTGTAAACTGGATCATTAAACTTCCTTTGGCGTGATTTATACCCAATGGTCAACGTTTCCACTTAATGGTCACTGTTTAAACTTATTGTAATCATTTAAGTGTGAAATAGAGGGATTGGAGTGAAGTCGGATGATGTGGACAGACGGAGCAGCGAGCTCAGCTTTCATGTGCTCCTCTCTACATTCGATCTGTTGTTAAACACACACGCTGAGCCTCACCTGCCTCCCTTTCTCCTCTGCTTGCCAAGTGGAGACAAGGCAGATCAATGCTAAAGTCTCAACTAAAACACCACAAAGTGAGGCACTTAGGGCGTGAGGTGGATTCAGCCCCTCTTCATCTATCTCCCAGGCGCTCCCTCCATCCGTCTGTCTGCCTTTCACATTGTTAAAACGAGCAGCCACAGCCTGGACCCTTCTGCCGCGCTCTAATAGGGAACCTTATGATGTGACGCAGATAACTGAGGTGGCCTGGGGAGAGCAACTTGAAACGTGCTTACACACACGCATGCACACACGCTCAATCTTCCATCCTGGCAGAAGGCTCAGAAGGTGGATTTGTCTTGAAAGCTCCTCAGTGGTTCTAACACACAGCTGCATCCAGCAGGCTCTCTGGAGCTTGTGACCGGCTAAACGGATATAGAGACGTCGGGGGGTGGGGTGGGGTCTCCTCAGCTGGCAAGATGAAGAGAAGGCCTATCCCTCTGTGAAGCACCACCATCCTTCCCTCCCTTTGAGAGCACATGGAAGAAAGACAGAAGAAGGGGGGTGAAGAAAATCGAACAAGATCAGTTTATGATTCAAGTGTGTGTGAGTGAAGACTTCCCTGCGTCTCACACCAGCTTAGGAGGGTTGAAAGAAGCCATATAGCTCAGATAGAGAGCCTTATTTATCTGTCTGGTAGTATGGTTCTATAAGCTGCAAAGTGATCTGTAACTTTTCTCAGTATTGAGGACACTTTAAAAAAGTTTCAGAGTAGGGGGCAGATTTAAATGGAGCTATGATGGTACCCAAGGTCAGCACTGATTTCCTAACATTAAGGTTTTGTCTTAAATTTAATGTTCTAGTTTTATTGCATTTGTTTTTATCTTGTTTGGTTAAAGTGAGGTGAAAAAATTATGATGAGGATAATTTTATTATATAAATATTAGGGATGCACGATATAATCGGCCCCCTATCTGTATCGGCCTTAAAACTGAATATCGGACATCGGCCACCCCACCGATATTTAACCTGATATTTGATCAGCTTCTAAGTTTCTAAAGTCTAAAAAAAAAAAAAAAAAAATACTACTTCTTCTTCCTCAAAAACTTCTTTTTTACAGACTTAAAAACTATTATAAGTTAAAATATTGATACATTAAAATATCACAATATCTTCATATGTTGATATATTGCCATTTAAAAACACCATATCAATCTCTTTAACTAATGAAATATTGCTATATGTCATCGTTATGCTACGAAATACGCCGAAAATTCACAAAATTTTGCCATATTTTTATATGTTGATATATTGACGTGGTATCAATCTATTTTACTAACAAAATCTCACAAGAATTTGCTAAATATCACGAGAGTTTGTAACAGAACGATGAAATTTCATGAGATTTTGAAAGTAAAATAGATCGATACCGCGTTTTTTAAAATCAATTTGATATCAGCATATGAAAATATATTTGAGTATATTATTTTTCAAAGTGTCAGAAATGGATAACAAAACTGCTATTTTCAATGACTAATTATTTTTGTCCAGCTTTAACATCGGTATCGATATCGGTTATCGGCTACATGAGTTTTAAAATATCGGCATATCGGATATCGGCCGAAATCCCAATATCGTGCATCCCTAATCAATATTTGTGAAGGGATACCTTTAAGAACTAATGCTTATAGTAATGCAAGTCTATAAAAGGATTCCAGTAGACTGGAAATACAAGAAAATGGCCGTGTTAACTTGGAACATAAAGCGTCTTTCAGCAGAGGTGACGACCTGCAGGGTTCAGCCGATGACGGACTCTGGAACCTGATGCTTGATAGATTTGGGGTAAAGTAAAAGGTCCCAACCAGGATGTTTGACCTTATTGCAGTTCCTCTGAAAAATCTTTGATTTATTTAATTTCCTTTCAGAAATGAAAAAAAAACCCAAACCAAATTGTATTTTAGAAATATAAGCTGAATTAATCTAATCTAAAATAATGTTTCACTCTATAATCATTTTATTTGATTGCTCCAACAGTAAAACAACATTTCCCTTTGTGCTACATTTTAATTCTGGATGTGTTTGACCACTTTGATAGCTTGTGTGGTTAATAAAGATCCTGATGATTGCCACCAACATGGATCAGTCTCAAACTTTCTTATAATTCGTTTAATTTTGAGCCATAGAAAAACAATCTAAAAGCTGCTTTGAAACCTGAGATCTTTAAAAATAACTTAAAACAGTAATAGGTTTGAGAGCCACCTCAGTTGATCACTACTAGTTCTGGATAGGTTCTGTTAATAAAAAATACAAAATATACTAAAAGTTAAAGTTTTCCTTTTTTGTTCACATTTTTAACAACTAAATGTGAGCCAAAACAGCCCAGATACATTCTTAAAGGGAAGCAGCAGACAGATCCTGAGGTTTGATATCAGGCTGTCCTGAGAGACCAATGAGGAGAGGAGGGGGATTACTGCAGGTTGAGATGGGCCAGAAGGATTGAGAAGAAGAAGAATCTCTGCTTTGTACCTGAACTTCAAAGATGGCCGTCTCATGTCTTTGTGTCTGGCTCCCTCTCTGCCTGTGACCTGTAAATGGCAGAAAGATAGTGCGATCACCTTTGACATGCCTCCTCTCAGCCTCTTAGGGGGTCCGGATAATTGCTATGGAAACAAGATGTAACAGAGGTCACTGGATTGGCTGAGCCATGCTGCCGGTTGGCCTGATGAGGCCTTTGATCCTGCCTGTTCAGATCTGTGCTTGTAGCCATGTTGTGCTGACATATTTGTAAATTAAGGGTCTCTTTTTAATGCTTTTATTAGCCTTAGAAAAGAGAGGAGGAAATGTGTAATAATCAAGGTAAACATTCAGCAAGATTGTAGGAATGTGGCTGTGATCATGAGATGGACCAAGGACTGCCATGTAGGAGGAAAGATTCATGGGAACTATTGACTTGGATAAAGATTTTTGTTAAGATAAGTAAAGTGACACTTTTTATCAAAATCAGCAAGCATTTCATTAAGCACTTAAGTAAAAGTGGTGATAGTACTGTGATTTTCCCTGAAGCCCGATTGCAACCTTGAGAGAAGTTTGTTTGAGCATAGGAACTCTTTTAGTTACAGAGAATAGATTCAAGGATTTTTGACAAGGCACACAAATTTCACATAAGCCTATGATTGTTAGAAAGTACGGGATCATCTCCTTAGAGTAAAGAGCTGTCGAAAGTGGACGGAAGGAATTTCTTTGTTGTGAATCGAAAGATTATAAAGAATTACAAGAGGCTGTGAAACAAAATCAGCAGCTTATTTGAAGAAAATATAGTTCTATCATGTCTGGCCGAGGAGGTTTCCTATGATCTAACGCTTTGAGTATGTATTTGTTCCACTGGAAAATGTCGACATTTAAAAGGATTACCAGAAACTTTGGGGGATCAGTGTGAGGAAACAGACTTGTTAGCCGAGGCTCCAGGAAGATGTTGCAGGGTAGTAGCAGGCTCAGGCCTGTTAGCCAGGGTTCAATGAGGAGGTGGAAAACTCAGGCCTGTAATCTTAAATTAGAAAGGTGTCCTTTTTAGCCCAATCATTTGAAAATCTACATTTTTCTAAATGTTGCTATAAATTAACACATAGTTATTGTCACTAGTATATTAATATAAATATAAAACCTAGAAACTCTGTATATCTATATTGTAAAACCTTATGATTTTTTTTCACAATTTCATTACTGTTAGAAGCTTTATTATTTAAAACCTAATTTAAATGCCTTTAAACATATCAGGTGTCTGATTCTTGTCATACATATGCCTTATAAGACAATTTTATTATTTATTTATCTGATTCTGACAGAAAAGTAGTGATATTTCACATATGTGGGGGAAGGAACAATCACGCTTTGTCATATAAAACAGATCCAAATAAAACAAAATAGACAATCGAAGTCACTCTTGAAATTATTTATAACTCCGATTGAGATTAAAGTGCTTTTTATTTTATCCAGAATGCCTAGGAAAAGAGGCAGGTGTCTGTTGACATGGAAAGTAAGAAGAAGAAGAAGGCATAAAAAAGGCTCAACTCTCCCTGCAGAAGGTGTGCTAGGAATTTGAAGGAGGAACAAATTCCCTCAGGAAACTTGCCTTACCCACAAAGATAAGTTAGGTGGTGTTAAATTATGTTCGCCGTTTGCCTTCTTTTGCTTAATATAATCCTGGTGTCACAGGTAGCTGACTGATCACTTTTTTATTTAATTTAAAGCTGTGTGTTCGAATGCCACATCCTAACAGTTGGTTGCACACCGTCAAGATTCTGTGGATTCTTCTTTGCTGATATTAGGATGCTTTTGCCACACTGATCGAAAATAGAAATATCAACAAAAATAAAGATTCTGAACCATTCCAGGAGAATTATAGGGTTAAAATCTGTTTCGATCAATTCTGGGTGCCCACCCCTACATGGCTTAATAATGTATAGATAAATTCTCATACCTATTGTTGATCTCTGTCTGAGTAATATAACGTTATAAAGTGTTTTCTAACAGTTCACACTACTACAGGAGTAATAGAAGTATGTAATTTGAGTTGCTATTGTATGGGGTCAATGTCTGTATTTGAATACTCAAAGCTGCAATGTTGATGTCGTGTTAGAAATACTAAAAGTTGTATCGGGATTAGAGGTAAGTATTGGCATGAGTGTTGCGATTCGATACATGTCGCGATACTTGGGTCACGATACGATATTATCACTATATTGCAGTATCACTATATATTGCCATATTTTCCCCAGCTATCAAAATCAAATGATGAGATAAAACAGCAAGTGCTGTATATTTTCATCAGAAAATATTGATTCGGTATTATTATCCATGTTGTTTGGGGTTTTCTTCTACTGTGACTGCCTCAAATACAGATTTGGTGCTGCAATAGAGTTAAAGGGTTCCACAGTGCTTTCTGTCAGAGTGGGGGTGCAGAGGTAGCCCATTTTCCCATCAATGTTTTATGTAACCATTTTTTTTATTTTTTTTTATCGATACTAAGAAGTGAAAGATCGATATTATATTGGGCAGCCATCACGATATATCACCAAAACGATTATTTCCCACACCCCTAATCGGGATAGGAACAGCTATACTAAATACTATAGAAAATTGGAAGAAAAAAGATAATATAGGGCAAAGAAAAGTTAAATTAATCTCTTAATAAATTTATCAACCAATAAATGAAAGATGTTTGAAAATATAATGGGCTATTAAATGATTTGATAAAAAAAAAGGTGGAAATAAGGGAAGGAAGGGAGAATTAAGAAAAAAGAAAGGTAAAGAAAGAGGTGGGGGTGTTGATACATAATGTGAGTGAAAGGCAGTTAGAGTGTGGCTGACCTTTCCCTGGCCAGATTAGATTGGCCTGCCAAGACTGCTTAGAGGAACAGATAGAAGAACAGGGATCACACACACAGAGCAAACAGGCCACACGAACCGACTCAGTGTGTGTATTCACCCACATCTGCTCAGGAGGATTCAGCTTACAGTATAAGTGCAAGTACTCAAATTACAGAGCAGCATCGTATTTAACAAGACAGTTACAAATGTCTGGAAAGATTTCTTTTTATGGTTAATTATAGATGCCTTGTTGGTTGGGAAGCTTTCAAGGCAAATTTAACTTTTCCTTTTTCTAAGAAACCATTATAGATCGACCCAATTTAGAGGAACCTTTTAGCTATTAGATGGAAATTATGGATCAAAACCTTAAAGAAAGAGACACAAACAAATTTAGCTACACACCTACCATCAGAGTTGAAGTTGCCTTTGGACTCTTGCTCGCCTACGAAGACCCCAGTTGTTTACCGATAGCAACTGTTCAAGGAAAGGAAGTCTAGTCTGGAGACTCACACACAGAGACAGGCAGGTTGAACAAGACTGGTGTCAGCTCTGTCTGGTCCTCCCCCCACCCCAGACACTCGTAGGCAGCCCACTCGTCCACCTGAGAGCTTGTAGAAATTGGAATAGGTGTAAATAAGATGGCTGTCAGGTCTGTCACTGGCTGACTCACACACAGACTGCCTCAGTCGCAACTCACACATAGTAAGTCGGGAGTAATACCCACATTCGACCCCCCCCAAACTACCAACTACCTTTGTGCTGCAGATTGACGCAGTTTAAGTGACAGGTTGATAGGCTCATAGTCACGCGTCCACAAACACAGCTTGGGAACGTTGGAGAGATGGACCTAAGTGACAGAGGGACAGACAGTCTTAAACAAACATGGAAGAGACACCTGGAAGTGATGGACACACAGAGCCAACTTGGTGGTTAAGTAGAGCTGAAGGGAGCAGTGAGGCAGCGGCAAGGGTTTGTCTGAGCGTTCATCGCTAGGCTTATAAAGGTGCCATTCAAACAAACACACAACCTTCCTCTCTCTCTGTTTCTCTGAACACATCAGAATTCATCACTTCACACCATCTCTCTGACTGCATCTTACTTTTTTTTCTTCTTTTTTTTTTTACCTCATCTGTCACCTGGTTGATATGCAGAGGAGCTCAGTTTAACATAAGCTAATGGTGTTTCAGAAAGTTGGGTCTTCTCTGGTTACATTAAGGTAGAAGTTGTTTATGTTGAGCGTTTAAAAAAATAGTTTCCCTCTCATGAGTTAGAGAGCTCAAAACTATTAAGCTTGTAATTGTTTTTTTTTTTTTTTCCAGATGTATAGTTTTTGTTCTGTGAGTAATGTCGAGTTGAATCATCCAGATGAATATTTAGCGAAGGCCCAAGAAGGCTTAAGAGTGTTCTAGGATAATGGTCCACTTTTCCATGTGTACCACTGGTAAAAGACATAATTTTCCTAAGAAAAACATTTCCCTCTTCCCAGGAACTGGATTTGCCACATGCAGCATCAAGGAGAGCGCGGCAGATAGCGATGCTGACCTTGACGTGGACGGAGACGATACGTTGGAGTACGGAAAGGCACAGTACACCGAGGCCGACATTATCCCCTGCTCTGGCGCCGGCGAGGATCAAGGAGAAGCCCGGGAGAGGGAAGCGCTACGAGGAGCTGTGCTCAAGTATGAACTCAAGATAGAACTAAAATCCTCAAAAAAGGTACACAGTTTGCATTGCTGTAAATGCTGATAGTTGCCCTACTGTTGCAGCGGCGGGATGCCTTCCAACAGAATAACGCCAGAGTTCTCCAAATGGGCAAACGATGGTAAGAAAAGCAAAAACTAATGGTACTATTCATGCTGCAGAGGAGACCAGAAGATGGCAAATCTTGAAAATGAGAAGATCTTGCAAATCTGCTGTAAAACAAGAGCTCCCAATGAACTTTTACCTTCTTTATGATTACAGAGATGCCTTCAACGAGCAATGGGGAGAGCAGCAAGACAGAGCCCAGCACTCCATCATCATCCTCTTCTTCTTCGAATGCTCCACGAACCTGTAAAAACAGCGAAATTGAGAAGTAGGTGAAACTAGATGATTGAACATGGCAACTGATGGGAAAGTAGTTGGTGAAAATTAAAATGTGAAGGCTAGCCTCTGTGAATTCCTCTTTATATTAACATACCTCATACAGCAATATTTATTTATTCCAGTATTAGGCTAATTGTCTTATATTTTAATATAAAATACACTGGTGGAACTTATTTGATAGGGATTTAAAAGATGAACAGTTGGTTGAAGGTTTTGTCAATTTTGTCAGTCTTATTTGTGCATTGTCTCAAGCGGGACAGGGGACAAACTAAATATGGGAAATAAGGACAAATGTACAAAATGCAGTGTTTGGCGAAAAAAAAAAATATATAATTTTACATCTTCCACAATTCAAATTTCAAAGGGGGGATCCTGGAGGGAAGCAGTTTAAACTTGACTCGGGCTCGAAAATAACCCAAAATAGAGACGCCCCCGAATCTAAAGATGCACTTTAAATCCAACAAAAATGAAGCCAAAGTCCGGACCTAAATCCTTCAGCAAACCAGTGGAAACTACTGGAAGTTTCTGTTCAAAGATGATGTCCCTCCTATCTGGCTGAGAGCAAGCTAAAGAAGCATGGCCATATATCATATGCTACATGTGGACAGCTGATAGATGCACATTTTTGTATTTTGTGTTGATGTTACCTAAAACCCAAATGAGTATTTTTGCAGTAGTAACTTTAAAAAAGGGACTTTGTCCACTCAGCTGTTAGCATTTAAGTCACTGTAAAACAGCTATAACTAACATCTTCCCCTTCAGTCATGTAGGCAGTTCAATCCAATAGATTATTTAAATGAATTAATCAGCACTCTGGCTGTGCACATTCTCCATATTAAATATCAGCAGATTGGATAATTGGTGGATAAACTGAGCCGCTTGAGATGTATTGATTAGAAACTCCTCTGTCAGAGCAGAGTGAGTGTTTGTTAGGTGAAACGATCCATTTGTTCCCTGTTGGTTACAGTGAGCAAGCAGTTACCCTATGATTCATTCTAAAGGTGATAAAGCTGCATATATAACATGTTTATCAGCTAAATTGAAGAACTAGAGGTGTGTTTTTATTTTTTGTTCGGGTTTTTTGGCTTCCAATTAGCAGATCCAACAAACCCCTACAGAGCGCTCTATGTTTTAACATATTTTATTGATTTGCTTTATGTGAATGCATCCAGGATCTAAGTCAAACTATTTTGTTTTATTATTTTAGTTGAACATCCACGCTGTCTATTGATATGATTAAAATAAATCAGTTAATTTAAGTGGATGGGAAATTCCACGTTCCTGGATAATGACAATGGGGTTTCTATGCAGATAATGAACCAAAACCACATAGAACAACTGCTAGAAATCTGCTTTTATTAAAACTTGTACAAAAAACCCGCTTAGTTTTACATAATGTTTGAACAGCAGTACTAGGAGCTGCTGTAGAGGATCTAAAGAGCCAAATCTACTAAGAAATGCTGTTGATGCCGTTTGGCCTGTTGTGGTATGAAGATTTGTTTGGTTACCAGTATGATAAGTTAAAATGACACACATGCACAGCTGTGTTATTTTGCATGCCTGCATGGATGCTTGAAAAATACCACATTGACCTTTTGGTGCATCGAGCTGGTGGTCTACAGTAGATTTAATTAAGCAATTAGAAGAGAAAAGATTTTATACAAATGATAGTTCCACTTTAGCATCTGTGAAGTGAAAATTGATTTGTGCACTGGAGATATTATCTGTACTACTTGCTTCTGCTAATGAAAATAATAAAAAAAAGAACAGCTTAGACCAGTTAGCATAGATGTCAATCTCTGTGTGCATTCCTTAAATGAGGGGAGATTTCCTAATCATTGCAAACATTTCTAAATCTAGCACGTCCCAGAACATCTAGAGGTGGATAACTCATACCAATGAAACAAAGCCACTTTGTTGTATAACATTTAGCCTTCCTGTTGACTGCTGAAAGTTTAGCTCTAGTTTTACTTTTCTATGTCTGGCTGAACTGTAGACCCTTAAACATGTCATTAAAAAGACCAGTTCATCTTGTGCTTCAGTGTCTCCTTACTGGTACTAAATTGATCTAACTTTCAGTATTAAGTGCCATGTGGTAGCTCTTAGGTGTGGTTCATTCAATGACTAAAAAAATGGTTGAATTTTTAAAGGCCTTGATAGAATAACTCACTAAGTAAAGGAGTATCTGTCTGTATGTCCAACTAACGGAATAGCAAATTAGTTAGGTCCCTAAACTGCATAATGCTATCAAATATAGACGATGGGTTGAAAAATTGTGTAAATGTTAAGAGTTCCCACTATTTTGAAAAGATTTCTAATTATTATGATTAGAACTTACTTGCTTTGGGTCTTTTCTGTTCTTTTCCACTTTTTCTTCTTGGTTTTTTTTGTCATTTTCATGCAGCAGATATTGGTGTGTTACCACTTGATGTTCTTGTTGAGGCTTTAGCAGGCACCTGGAGCAGAACATGCTTTAATCTAAGTATCCATTTAGGGTGAGGCCAACTAGATACCGAATGATTGCATTGGAACAAGCAGTCAGGTGCCTGGCTGGAACAATTCCCTGCCTTACTCCTCCTAGCTTGCTATAAATGCACGTATTTGTGGAGCTTCTGTGCCCTTCCATCCTCAAATGAAAATGAGATTTGTCTCCTTTTGTTACATTGATACATTGTGTGTGTGTATGTGTGTGTGTGGCTTTCCACAAGGTAGCGTTAGTGAAACCTCTCTCTGTCTCTGATCCCAGATGGGTAATGATCTGGTCGCCTCCCGGGGCGTCCTCGTTCCCCTGCTCATTCCCCTGCAAGATAAATGAGTTCTCCCTCTCTCTCTCTCTCTCTCTCTCTCTCTCTCTCTCTCCCTCTGACACACACACATACATATACGCATACATCGCCTGAGACGCTCTTCCCTCTCCAAGATAAATGGCCCCTCCAATGCCGCCAATGCGATTGCTGCCAAATTTGGAGCTCCAGCTGGAACAATGCGGAGTGATTTCCATGTGGTTTCTGCAAATAATTGAATCTGTCCTCAATTTGGAAGTGATGAAGCTAGATTTCTACCATGCACCTCACCACCCCCTTACACACACACAGAAACACACACACATACTGCCCAGTCGTCATCTCTGTGTTTCGCCGTCCTTTCCTTGCCGTATTTTACAGTGTGGTGCATCTTTCTTCCCATCCCTGTCTGGTTTCTCTCCTCCATCCCCTCCTGTCCTCTGTCTCAATTCTTCTCAGCTATTTACAAGGTTCCCCTAAATCCCCCATCTCTTAACTTTTGCTGCCCACACTCACACAGGGGGAAAGACAGGGGAAATCAATAGTGACTTAAATGTTTTATCATAGTGTCTCAGTGTAGTTAAGGCCTGGGCTAACGGGGTGATGCAAAGAATTATGCTCTAAAGGGTTTTACAGCAGCACATACTTGATGGATTTATTTAAGGGCGAAATGCTTACCCGGAGAGGATTTCAAATTAATTTGTGTTAAATTTTATCAGCTGTATGTTCCGGTGCTGAGGCGGAAGCTGAGTGAGGCCAAAATGTAGATAGACAGCAGATGAAGACATTGAGCTGATTGAGATGGATGGTGGAGATCTCCCGCTACACACACATACACCCACGCTAATGAAATGAGAAATAGCCCCACAGACGCTGGGAACAGAGCGCTAAATAGAGGAGAAGCAGAGCCATCTATCTGTCTCTGCTTGGCTTTCTCACTTGCTGTTTCCTACGAGGAAGATTTCTGAGGGAAAGTTACACACCCTACCGAAGAAGTTCAACTAACGTTTAAGAAATGTGGCGCGCCGATGTGGGATTACAGGAACACAAGTCTACCACAAAAAAAAAAGAAACAATACCCTAAGCTATCTTAGGGTAATTAGATTTTTCTTTTAATGCACTTTATATGCATGACATATTTAAACTTCTTACATCCTCTACAGGTGCGCCATGAATTATTGGGTGTGTCGTTTAAATTGAGATTAAAACTGCAAGATATTATACAGGAATTAAAAAAAGTTCTGTTTATTCACATTCCCTACATATGCATATGTGGGTATGAGAGAGTAGGGCAGGTGTATTTACTGTATGAATTCATCCTTATGGGGATAAAGCACCTTAAATATATCAGGATGTCCTCATTAACATCCTCTTGAAATAAAACCTTCTATCCCACTGAAAGAAGACCAGTTCAGACCACTTATGACTCTTCTCTGTTATTGAACTATTTTACATTTTAGGTTAATCCAAATTGTGCTTGCCCAACCTGTGTCCCAAAGGGATATGAGTTTTCCTATTTTGGCTAAAAGCTAAACGACCCTAAGCTGGTTTAAGTCCGTGAAATAACAAAGGATTGAAGGATTTTTACATGTGGCCCGATTAAGTTGTATTACTTTCTCTCCAACTTTTTCTGTATGTGAGGCCTAAGGACTGTTTTTCATAGCTTTTTCTACTTTCACTTAGAAGCTCCCATCCTGCCAAAGGAAGATGAATGTGTTAACATTGGTGGAACACAAAGCAATCTGTACTACTGAAGTGTGCTTAATAAATATGTATAAGGGAGATTAAAAGTGAAAAAAGAGCAATATGAAATGAAAATGAAAACAGTTTTTCCGATTTTTTATTAACATCTCTCAAGAAAATGGAAGATATCCCTCGACAGCTTGGTTGGCGGCAAAGATGCAAAGAAACTTAATAGAACTGTTAAGGGACAGTTACAGTCCAGCTTTGTCCTGAATCTGAGGCTGTTTTATTTGCTGGCAGGCTAATCAAGGCTAAATGGCTTTTTACAAGCTAGACACTATTAAGAGGAGAGGGTATGGCAGTTTATAGGGCACGTTGGTGGCACATCAGGCTGGGTCTTTATAGACATAGGACGATGATGGGTTTACAGGGAGGAGGAGGTCTCTGCTCTGCATACAGCTTTAGAAAACAACCCGGAACTTAATGCTGGACTTGTGGTTGACATCTGACTTGAAGAAAGCCTGAGCTCCCTGCTAAAAGAAATCTAATTAAATGAAAGAATCAAGCTTTAAATTGAATATGGTTTTGTTTTATTTTGTTATTCTTCGCTGCTCTTCAGTGAGACTAGGGATGCTGCAGGATTCCAAAAGCATGAAACCCAGATTACTACAGTACCCAAACCTTTAAACCAAATGAATTGTCTGTCAAATCCCTTTTTTAGCTAAGTGTCACCATAAAAAAAAAAAAATTAAGGCTCTTATTTTAATGGTGTGCTTTTTCCGACTGACCCTAAATATAACTTTAAGACTTTTATTTTGGAGTGAAATTGGAAGCAGTTATTGAAATGCGCTGTAGTATTGAAAATCTGCTAAAATGAAAAAAACAAAAACAAATGAAATGCGTATTTTGTTAAAATAAAGAATAAAAATGTAGAAAGTTATCCAATTTTTATCCAAATCAGCTTGCTGGACAAATAGTAGACTGGTGACACTGTTTCCTGGGGAGTGTTGGCATGGTGGTTAGAAGGTTTGAAAGTACCCGGTTTGATCCCCTCAGCCTGCCCTCTCGGTTCCTGAGGAAAAAACCTTATCTCTGATTGCTCTCCAGGCGCCACACAATGGCAGCCCACTGCTCCCCAAGGGGTTGGGTCATAATGCAGAAAACAAAAATCCCCATACATTACAATAAGTGAATATGTTCGCTAAGAGTAAGAATATCTGACCTGTCAGATTGCAGCATTAAATTTGGATTTAACTAGTCTCTATAAGTGAGAAATAATAGAAGAGGTTTCCTTAATCCAGCTGAACAGCAGTGTACAGAAACTGGTGGTGAAGGGTAACATTTAAAAAAAACTTCCTCTCGATGCGCCTATAAAAAGCTAGCCTGGGTGCCAGTCAGAACTTAGTCCCGCCCACAAGGTTTGAGTTCGGGGAAGTTCGGTCTGGCTCTGCTCCATAGTAGCGCGAGTATTATCGCCCACTGTCAGGCGATCCAATCAAATTGTCAGGGCGGGCTTTATACGATGATGGACAGATGATCAAGAGTAACGTAATCAACCACGTGACCAAAGCGCGCTAGGGTGACAACAATAATGGCTGCCGCTGGAGAGTTTGGGTGAGTAGATTCTGCTATTAGGTCTGTTCTAGAAGATATCGACAGCAAATTAATTTTAAAAGAGGAACAGAGAAACGCGATCAAGTCTCATCTTCTTATTCTAGGCGTGAAACTGCACGCTTTGATTTTTGTGGACAACAACTATGCCTCGCTTAACATACGTCACGCACTCCGTTGCTCTTATTGGTTGTAGATCTATCCAATTGAGTGCAGAGGCATTTTTTTTCCTGGTTCGTTCGAAACACGCCCCATAATCACAGCTCTATGGAGCAGTATCAGACTCACATTCTGACTAGAATTGAGTCGGACTACGTCAGGCTAATAAAAAGCTGGTAATTTCAACTCTTTCTATACCATCTTTTTCAAAGTGGTTTTGCATCATAAGTTAACTTTTTAGTTAAAAAAAAAACTTTTAAACATTTTAGGCTACTTTGGTATCATAAACTAGATTTTATAGTGTATATATTGAAGTATAAATGGCCTGAAACGATTGGTGTCACACTTAGAAAGGAAAATGAGAAAGTTATCCAGCGTTATATTTCCTGTGGTCTTTGTTTCGTGTGCGGACGGTGGAAATGGAGCCATATCACACAGAGCTACTTACTGCTTGCGTTTACTGTCCCTTCCTTCTCTCTGCTTGTCCTTCCCCTGCCAGATCAATACCATAGATCACCAAGCTATCAGGCTGCAAAATGACCACATCACCATAAACACACACACACTCCACGAAACACACAAACACACCCAGTGCATCTCGGCCGAGAGCGAATGGATGGCTGTAATAAACATCTCGCCGTGTGCTCTCGACTCGCTGCACCGAATTATCATCAACGTTTGTGGTTGGTATTGATTTAGTTATGGCTGCTTCATATGCTGTTGAACAGTGTTAAATGCACATTTTCTGGCATCACGCTACACATTAGTCAGAGTCTCCTTATAGGCAGTGGGGAAAAAAAGGCAACTGGAGGGAGTAAAGGATGGCAAGAGGAGGAAGAGAAAGGATGTAAAGCTCCACCAAATATATAATAATAATAATATTAAAGGCAGGGAATATATCTGACTTGTATAAATGAATGTGGGGAAAATATTAAAACCATGGAGATAAGGGGTTTTGAGTCATCAATAAATAACTGAGGTAAATGCTTACTTATACCAACATAAAATATGTCTAATGTAGAAATAATCAGTTCAGATTTTACTTAAATGTCAAGCTGAACAAATATGAGGAGCAAATAGGATGTTGTTTTTAGGTTAACCTTAGGAGAGTTCTCTTTATAGCTATGAACTGCCTTAATATTTCTCATGTTTCTAATCTTTTTTTCTGTGCTCTAGGGTGACAGAGGAAGAGTCCACAGCTACCACTATGGAGGCTCTGAAGGCCCGAATCCGGGAGCTGGAGAAGCAGATCCTGCGAGGAGACCGATACAAGTGTCTTATCTGCATGGTGAGTATAAACTCCTGGAAAAGCTGTTCATCAGGCAGCACATCATGCCTCAGCTTGGAGATCTTCCAAGAGTATTTTCTCTTTATAAGTTGTAGAGGAGTGACCCTTAGCATAGAAACAGACAGACCAAAGCTGATTCATATGGTGGAATGGCCTAGTTAAAGTCCAGGCCTCAATCCAATTGATCCTTTTTAATAAGACAAGCAATTTTTGTCACTGAGGCAAGAGGTGCTTTTTTTCTATTTATTATTTTCTTCCTAAAATTTCTTACCTTTCTACATGTTGATATTAAAGAAATCTGCAGTTTCTCTGTATCTCGCCTGCTGCCTGCTTGTTCTGCCCCCATGTGCATGCTATGAGCAGCACCACGCTTGAGTGTTGTGCAACTTTTGTTATGTTGGATTAGGGCTTGCATGGCCGAAGAGGATGTAATTGTTTTCTTATGCAAATAAATGCTTTGCCACCAAATCCATGTGCCAGTTCTTTATATTAACAGAGTTGGCATGGCAATGGTAAATGGCATGTACTTATATTGCGCCTTTATTCAGGTTAGGAGACCTGACCAAAGCGCTTTACACTACATTCATTCACCCATTCACACACACACTCACACACTGATGGAAAACGTGCTGTGCAGTTTGCAGTTTTCTTTGACAGCTAATGAGATTCACTGCTCAGAAAAATTAGATCTCTGAGTGACCATATCATTCCAAAGGAGGAAAATATTCATGTTTATCAGAGCCCTCCCACACGAGGTTACATCCTGTGATCAGTGTTTGTGCCCCCCACTTTATGTCAAGTACCCATCCTGTCATCCTTCAAGCTTGTAGAGACTTCAGCATTGGCATTCTGTTCCTGTGTGTGTGTGTAAAACGGGTAATTACCAACGCCTGCGCTTCCTAAAGGTCACTTAGTGCCTGAGGTGACGCGGAGGGCAAGGCACAGCGATCGATCACTCACTGCCCCGTGGACACGCAGCTCTTCACCACTCATCTGTCACTGTCCCTTATCTCTCTCACACTCCGGGGCCCAGAAAGGAACGCAAATATGTGTACACACCCCTTCTTCTAATCTATCTCTGTCTGTCTTAAGGTTGTCTCCGTCCTGTCCTGTCACTTTGTCTGAAATTAAAAGTCATCAGATTAGCCGTATTTATTGCCAGGGACGGGCAGATTGAATAGGAGCTGCAGGTTTTCTCTGAGCCTTAAAGTTCATACAGAAATACAAAAAAAGCAGAGTTGGCTTAGTGATCAGAGTATATTATTAAGCAGTAAGGAGTTCCCTACATAAAGACAGCTTCTCACTGAATAATTAACTTTATGACTTATAACTTTTCCTTCATTTTTTTTTTTTCGTAGTTATTTTAAAGAGACTTAGTCCTGCTGCCACCATGTTGGCAAATTTTTCTCCATCCTTGGCTTATGGGCAGCTTGGCTCTTCAGTACAGCAGCTACAGTGGATGTCTATCCCCATCTACTGGTCATGTTGGAAAGTTTGGTTATTCTTAGCTTTCTCTGGACGCCATATTGTTAAAATGAACTGCCATTTGAAAAAAGATGTAATTTTGTAGGAAAGCAATGCAAAAAAGTACAGATCTTGAAATATTATGCTTTGAAACCATTAAACTCCCCCTTTTGTTGGATTACAATTTGAAGCGTCATTGGAATTCTGTTGGGTATACCAGCACATACTGCTGCACAATTAGAAAGAAAAGGTCCATGACTTTGAAAAGCTTTTGCAAAAAAGATTTGAAGTGTGGTGCACATGAAGTGAAGCTGTGGGGAAGTATAAAGCAAGCTTGTGTTATTTAACCTAACTAGACATAACATGGCCGTCCACCCAAACTTAAGATCTACATAAAAATATTACTAAATAAAGCAAATAAGAGACGTATGCTAAGTATGGAGGAGCAGCGGCTTTCCTAAGTTTGGGTTTGAGAACCCCTTGTAAGGGGTTTGTATCTCTGCTTCTGTCTCCTCGAACCCCAGTTGGCCTCAGCAGATGGCCGCTCACACTGAGCCTGGTTCTTCCTGTTAAAAGGGAGTCTTTCCTCTCCACTGTCACTACAAGCATGCTTAGTGTGAGGGATTGCATTTGGGTCAATGAAGCGAAGCAATCAACCGGTTTTCCTTAGATAGAAACTTTGAACCAATTTGACTGTATGATCTGGTGAACTGTAAAGAGCATTAAGATGACGTGTGGTGAATTGGCGCTATATAAATAAACTGAATTGAATTGTCAGGACGATCAGTTATATTTTTTTTCAAAAATCTATCGATCTTTTTGAGTTCAAGATCCTTTAGACATCCAGTGTACAGGCTTCTGTAGCAGATGCTTTATTACATATTGGCCTACATGCAAAGTACCATGTGATAAGCAAACGCTCCACATCACCCTGAACGAACAATCCCCAAAGTGAAACATGGTGGTTCCACCATTTCACTGTGGGAATGTCTTTCAGCTGGAACAGAAAAGCTGGGCAGAGATGACAGGAGGATGGTTGGAGCCAAATCAAAGGCAAAATATGTTTTAAAAGATGTGCTTAATTGTGTTGGTCTGTCACATGCAATCCCAGCAACAAATGAATGTTTGTTGTTTGGTAAAATAACATGGGACTTTTTCACGTAGGGATTTTTTAATGCCCATTTTATTTTAGTTCTTTATTTCAGTTTCTCTCCCATGTAAGGCATTTAATTCCTCAATGGTAGCAAACACCTTAAGTGCCTTGGATTAACCATTATCTACTGAGACAAAGTGGTTCTGCTGGTTACAGTGTAGTTCCAGGTTATCTGGCTGTCGGCGGGCCTCTGATGGCTGTCATTGTGGCCCTGTGTGTATGTGTTCGTGTTTGTCCACAAGCCTGTTTGTCACACCTTGGTGTCGCTGAGCACGATGAGTTTAGCTTCATGATTAGCTGCAACCTTTCGCCCCTCATTCTCCTCTCCGTGACCTCACCCTCCCCTCCTTCTGCAGAGAAAGCCTGCTCTCAAGCCAGGCGCAGAGATCAAGAGCATAGGGGTGTGGTCGGGCGCCCGGCCACTGGCCAATAAGGTTGGAGAGAGGCAACCTAAGTCCCTCCCCCTCGGCCTGTACTGTCTGTACAGGGGCCTTGTGATTGGTGGCTACGGCAGCAGCATAAAGAGGCTCCTTCCTCAACCCCTACGGAGGGTAAGGCACTACCTCCCTCCTTTTCCTGCACCTCTCGTCCCCTCCTTACCGCTATCCCCAAGTCATCTCTCCATTTTGTTTTTGAGATGAAAAGCCGGCGCTGCTTCTCCATGGCTTTGTCCCGCATCCCCTCCCTCTCCTGCCCTTCCTTCATCCGTAGTCGTTGCCTGCCCAATATCGTGTCAGTGAGTGTGTTTCACCTGCAGGTTTGCGGTTCAGTCGTCCTCATTGTGCTGCCTTGCTCAGTGGTTTGTACCCTGCTGGCTGTGTTGTTTCATGGACAGTGGTGAACTGGTCAGGGAGCCTTGAGTTGTAGTTGTTGTGTCGGTGACGTTTGTTGCCGGTCAATCTGGACAGATTTCTAAATGTTTCTCTTCTCTTTAGGACTCCTACACGATGCCTCTCACGTCTATCCAGTGCTGGCATGTCCATTGTGAAGAGTGCTGGCTTAGGACTTTGGTACGTCTCAACCCAAACACACACACACATTCTCCTCGGACTCGTTTTTCCTGCAGCTCCTCATTTTATGCAATTATTGCAGCCTCATTTCACAGTCAGTGACTTTCTCGCCGTTCTCGTGCCCAACAGGGAGAAACTAAAATGGAATATTCCCCAAATGACTTGTTCTAATATTGCACACACAATCCAGGCAGTGCAAACACTTTTAGCCTCAGTAGGAGAAGAGCTTAGATGGAATAGTCCCCAAAAGGCCTGTTAAGATGTTGGAATAAAGTAGTGAACTCAGACCTCCAATATCTAATACATGGAGCCCCAGGTCCTTGTTCACACCAGCTCTGTGATTTTGTTTGTTATTAGTTAGTCTAATATATTCAGTTGTGGTGTAATTAGCCATGGCTAATGTGGTAACAAAGAGTAGAAGAAAACCGGGTTGTTTAAGTCGGGAAAATAAACAGTCTCAATTCTTTCCTCCCTCTCGGATTATCTCTTTAAATAAGCTGCTTATTAATGTCTTTTTTCCTGCTATTCCCACTCCGTCACATCCTATCCCTCAGGTCTTGTTCAACTTGCTGACATATTAAAAGTAACACTCTCTAATCTCTGGGAAGTAATGACCACGGTATTGCTGAGCTGGGGCACAAATACTATGTAACATGTAGCAACCGATGCTCTGAATATTGTAGGAAAATAAAAAGTTAAAGCATTAAGCCACATTCAAAAACAATGCCAAAACTAATAACTTACCTCTAGAGAATCGTAACGCTGGTTTAAAATCCACCATTTAAGGATGCAACTTTTTTTCTCCAAACATTTGTAAAACAATGAGATGCTTTCAGGAGGTCAGTGATTTCAACCATCATCCAATGATAGGATTCCACCTCTGCAGTTTGTCTCTTTCTGTTTCAACATGCACAAAGCATGGTCCAAAAGAGACATAGATGAGCTAGCTTGGTTTGTTTTTCCAGTCATTGCAAATCCCTGACATCAAAACTCCTGAAAACACTCCTAAATATAAAAAAAAATCTTCCAAGAAGAATTGAGTGTGTTGTAAATGCAAAAGTTGGACTGGCATCATTCTAAAGCATACACAGATGGATTATATGGTAATGGTCCTATTTGGGTGTGCTGGGGACATTACCTTATAGTGTAGGACTCAGATTTACCAACTTTGTCTCAAGCAGCGTTGTGCGCAGCGTCTGTACCCCTCTGTGCACTTCGTTCTGCACAAGCCCACCCTGACCTGCCATTTGGGGAACAGTAATCCAATGGTGGGATTGACCAGTAATCCCACCATAGCACACATAGAGAGCAGGCTCTGGTCAATGCAGAAAATTTCCCTTTATCATCACCAGAATACAGCCTCCCAACTGTTCTGAGTCATTACATTTTTCTTAACTTTACCTATACATATTAAACACTCCTCCAGCTTCACCATTACATTAACCAAATATTTGCTCTCATTATACTATTGCTGAAATAATTTATCGGATTTATCGTGATTAATCGATTATTGAAATCATCATCAAAAAATTTAGTAATTGATTAATCATTAACTAGAATTTAAAGACTCTAAAACGTGCCTTTAGCTGACAGAAGGACCCACCTTGAGGAGCAATTATACAAAAATTGTAAAAAATTTAATTGTCTGTCAATAAGCTCTGTCCAGAACTCCACAAGTATAAATGTTTAAATTTCACCTGGTATAATTTCTCAAAAAGTCCTCTTTAAAGAACCTTTTTCTATTTGATCAATAAACTAATTAATGTGAAAAGCCCTACACTATACCTAAACAATTTTGACGGCGATAGTCCACGAAAAAATGCTGCCCTTGTTCAGTTGCTACGTTTACATGCACAAAATTTCATTGCCAGATTGAAAGTATTCAGATTAAAAAGCAAAAAGCAATCTGATTGCATCTTTTATATGAACATAAGTGATCAGAATGAAACACTAAAAGCTGACTAAAAAAATGTCCTATAAAGATGCAATTCAGAATGCTGTGATAGCATCTAACCACTCAAAGGGGAATTATTCTGACCCATTATGTCCCTGTAAGTGTAGCTATTATGTTTTCCTTTGAAACATCTGCCTCCACTTCCTTTTTTCTGTTTCAGATCATTTGGATCACATATTAAATCAGTATCTATAAAGCTCTAAAATGCTCTTTAACTCTCCGCTCCTGTCAAAAACAAACTGCAGCAATAGTGTACAGTGAAAGGCGCAGCTCCTATGGAGGCTAGATTCAAATTAAATCAAAGCTTAGTTCAAGCATCTCTGATTTAGCATTGTGGGGTATTATGGTCTGCCTTTAATAAGCTTTTATTTGGCATTTATACGTGTTAATGATTGTTTGGAACATGACTTTAATCTAAAATCAATGCTGATTCATGGAGAACTTCATCCGAGTACAAAGAAGCAGGCAGCTGAGCATGTTTTATTAATTACCTTAACTGTAATTTAGTTTTCAAGAAAAACTGTTCTGTCTACATGTGTTGTTTTTTTTCTGTGGGCGTTAACTTATAAAGCATTAAACTCATAGCCTGAAGACAGCTGTAAAAATGGGAGGGCTGAACTGATCAAAGTAAATGCCGAGGAATCTAGTTAACAACAACCCCCAGCTCCTGGCTGCTGTAATGAGCAAGGCAGCTGGAGCGCAGCTTGATGGGAGCACACTTACTGACCTCTCTGCACAGTAGTAGGAAACATTAGCAGGTGTGCAATCAAATGAGTGATTGATAATTATCTGTTGAAGGCTAAACCTCTTTGTACCACAGCTTTGCAAACACTGGACACTGGTCTGGTTCAGCTATGTTTCTAAACACCGGACAAAACATCTGTTCTAATCAGAAATTTGGTAATGATAATGATAGACTCTATAACTGTTATTTAATAAAAACAACATTGTTCTTTTTTCTTTTATTTTTTTGCTGGCTTCCATTTTACACAGTAAATTCAATGTGTAGATGTAGTAATTTCATGGAACATGAGTACAAAGCGCTATGATCCTGTCAATCCCGGTTAAGCTAATATGATATGGAAGTTTTCTGGCTATCTTAACATATAGTCATTGTCATGATGTTAAATTTTAATTCCTAGATTTTTAGTATTATAATTTGGATCCACACAGTGCTTCTTTAAAAAATTGTAAAGATAATTTGAATCGATTGTTTTTCTGGCAGAAGCTTGACAGAGAAGTTTCAAGAGGTTAAATCTTAAGGGAAAAGTAACATTCCAAAAGCTTTGAATCAGAGTAGGGTCTACATAATGACCCATATTCTACATCTTGCAAAAGAAATAAACATCTAACTTGATTTTTGTTTCCAGTTATCTCCAGATCTTTGTCATTTATACATTTCTCCTATAACCATTACATGTTGAAAATTAGTACAAGGAATGTACCTGCAACGGAACAAATAGGATGGAAGGGAAGCTGAAAAGATGGAGGGGTGGAGGAGAGCTTTTGAGACCACCCACTCAGAGTGGAAGAATGCTCCCTGCCCTGAGCTCCATATTATCGCCTGCTGCTTTACTACAGATGGCACGTTATGAAAGGAGAACCTCTCGAGGGGAAAGGGTGAAGAGAGAAAAAGGTGTACTGTTGTTAACAGGTTGAGTTAGACCTGCATTTTAGAAAGGATGTAATAAGAGTCACCAGGAATTTCTGTACTTATGTCAGGCTTTCGAAAACGTTGACGATGTAAAGGAAAGATCTACATTTACATGTTTAAGCATTCTCTCTCTGATTTTTTTTCCTGAAAAGAGATTACCTGGGACTGACACTTTAAATAAGACTTTATAAGGTTTATATGTTAAATGACTGTGAGACATGAAAACAGATTTTGACAGAAATTGTAATCGTACTCAGACCAGGGAAGTGGCTCAGTTTACGGATGGCAGAGCTTAGCACTGGGTTTGCTTCTTCAGACGTTCAGCCAAGAATACCAGTTAAAGACGCATTTTATACATTTTCAGCGTCACATCCTGCCACATCAAAACTCGCAAAATTTTATCATACACGTTTGTACATGAGGAGACTTCACCAGCTCCAGCCATATCAAAATATTACAGTGTTCTTAGATCAAGTTCAACCTGATTGTGCAGTGACTGAGCTATCTGTCAAGAATATTCCACTCTGTATGTATGCTACTATTTCCTTCCCAAATCTTTGTTACGTACATAATGAAGATCAATACTTTTTATCCCGAAAGAAGAAAATGTTCATTTACTATCTGAAAAGCTGCACTGAAAAAAATTTATTTGGACAATAAAAGTTGTCTAAGAGCTGTCCTAATTAGATAAACTGCCGGGGAAAAAATGAGTCTTGACACTTAACAGGCAGGTAATATTAGGGTTTAACAAGCACATACATGAACAGTAAAAATAATTCAGAGTTGTGAAATTAGAGCCTCTGCCCTCTACATTAACCTGAGATTGAAACATCACATCATCCCTACAGTGTAAAAACTTATAACACAAGAAAACACCGCTAAGCAGGACAGAACGGTGTGATTTTTGCGAGTCCGTTTTATTGAGAGGTAGAAGCTCTGTCATGAGCAACAATGCAATAAAATGATTCAATCATTTTCAAAAGGTCCCAATTAGAGAGCGCAAACATTTTTCTTTAGCTATAGGTTAAAATACATTAGCCACTGCCAGGAGGAATCACTTCTGTAGTCATTAAACAAGCAATGTAAAGTTTCACCAATTGATGTAGAAACTAATGAAATTCCTGTGAACGTTTACACCTTGAAGCAAACAGAGCTCTAAGACAGATGTGTCGGATTCAAATTGGGATCAGAAGTGAAGAAATATGGATCTGTACATCCAAAAAATGTATTTTGTGCATGATTAACCTTTGTGAGTAAAAATTCTAAACTGAACCAACTTTTCCAAAACATTCAATTTTGAGATCTCATTCCTGTGTGACCCTAACAGCATGTAGCTTGATAAAAGCTTCAATTTAAAGGCAAATTTTAGCTGCAATTGTTCTTAGCTCCTCGGCTAACTTTTCTCTCCATTCACCACAGGGGAACAAGAAGCTATGCCCGCAGTGCAACACCATCACCTCACCTGGAGACCTGAGGCGTGTCTACCTGTAAAGAGCTCAGCGGCTGCCTCTTCATTCTTCCAGTTCTCTCATTCTGGACTCCACCTCTTCCCAGTCACAATTAATTTTCTCCTGTGGACTGTAGGTTCTAAGCCTCTGAGAGCATTCTGAGACAATGTGGCGGTCTCTGAGGCTCCCCTGACTCTTTTTGGAGGCTGACACTCTTTAAGAGGTGACTTGTGGATACTTGCTGACTGATCGTTTATTTGCATAAAGAGAAGGAAATATGGAATCCAGAAGTCCAGGATTCTTAACAGATTTCTTCTGCTGAAGGACTTCTATCAATGGAGACTCTCACCGACCCAACCCAAAAAAAAAAACAAGTCCTGCTGACTCCTGATAGCTTCATGCTGCTGGGGATGAACTTTTTCCCGTGCTTCTTCAAAATTGACTCTAGCTGGACAGCAGGTGCAACACTGATGACTTGACAGAAAGCTTCTTTGTGTTAATTTCTTTTTTATGTTTTTTTTTTTCCTGTTTTAAAAATGCTAATTCTCTCCACACAGAACTTCTGCTTGAGTGTTTCAAAAAGAAAATTAGACCAGCCACCCAAGATTGAGCTTTCAACCAAACTGAGAATACCCTCAGAATCTTTGAAAAGAAGTTTGACACTTGCTGTTCTCCACTCCTTCTTTTCCTAAACCTCTTTTGTCCCTTTTTGTGGTGTTCTAGTGAAGTAAACCAAAATTCTCTCCCATCCAAAATGCAGTGCAAGCACATGTAATATAGTTCTATGTAAGTTTACAATGTTGGGTGTAAATGACATGGAGTTCAGACACACTTGTACACTCACACACATCACCATTAAAAGACTCACATCAAAGTATACATTCAAATCGGTTTGTTTGTTTTTTTAAGTCAGAGGCCAGTTTGGGAGTAATGTATTGGTTGGGAAAAAATGGCTGAAATAAAAAGCCTTCTGTATTTTTGAAAAAAAAAAAAAAAAGATCATACAAGATCTGTGGAAGTTTTATTTGAATGTACAGGAATAAAAAGATAAAATAATAAATACTCAAGATTAGATGGTTGAGATTTAGGTGATCTAGCTTTTCTGCAGGATGCCCTGAGGAACTATTTTAGATCATAAAGCAAGGACAGATGTTAGTTTTTAATTGAAAGGTGAGATTCCTCTTGTCCAGCATTTCCTGGAACCACGCAGACCATTGATAATGTTCTTTGAAACATTTTCCAGCCAAGCTTCTTCTGTTAACCATTTCTTCCTCATCGAAGTTGGAGTAACGCAATGATCAGATCATAGTTAACACTTATTTTTTATCCCTTACCTGTCTCAAATGGAAAGTTTTCCTAATATTCCCACAATGGTGTGCTACATAAAGGGATCCCAAGGAAAAGGTCCAGTTGCATACTTTTCTTTTTTGTAAGACATGAGTAAAGGCTCTTTAAAAGAAAGATGCCCAAGGCTGTACTGGCAATCTCAAAAACCCATGGCATTTTCCCTTTCGCCCCTTTACTGCAGCGGCATCAGCAGCCAAGATGGTCGTGTGCTTTGTGTTTGTAAACCTATGTAATCTGTGATGTCTGTAATGTTGTAAGAAATATTGAAAAAAAAGAAAAATAAAACTTCTCAAATATTACGAGTGGACTTCTTGCCCCAACCTGGATGGTGAAAAGTGGTTTCAAATAAAGTTGGTAAATATTTAAAAATAGTCAGATTTCTTATGAACTCATTTTAGGATTTTTTTATTAAATCCAACGGACTCATTGTTGAAAGAGAAATTGGTTTTCCACAGGCTGGCCTAAATGCTGTGCTACAGTTTTGCAACAACTGAACATTTTGAATCTATATTATAGATTAAATCTGTCACTTCCAGTCATAACTGATCAAAATTTAGCTTTTCCTTCATAAATCAGCAGCTTCATTCAGCAGGTGAAATACTGTTAATAGGATTTGATACTTCATTGTTAACCTGACTTTTAAAATGCGTAACTTGGACTGTCCCTCACATTATAAACTTTAAAGGTTTGTCAGTCCCAGTTTTTGTCTTGTATGTTTATGAAAATGGTACACGTCTTTCCCATTTGAAAGAAACGGTTGACATGGATTAAATCTCTGTATATTGAATGGCCTCCATTGCATTTTTTGTAGGTCCTCATGTCTCTTGTAGTGTTCAATGGAGATTATTATTTCTTACCAGTATTTTATGCAGAGATGGCAAAAGTACTCACTTTCCGTACTTGAGTAAAAGTACAGATACTTGTGTTAAAAAATACTCTGGTAAAAGTGGAAGTACTGATTAAACTTCTTTACTCAAGTAAAAGTAACAAAGTACAGGCTGGTAAATTTACTTAAAGTATAAAAGTAAAAGTAGAAACTACTTTTTTCATGCCGTTGCCTAAATTTTAAATGGATGTCTGCCAATAGGACTAGATCTCCGTTGTGTTCAATTTCAATCATCTCGTCGTCCATACTACTATGCTAACGCCACCGCCACCAAGCTGCAATGATTTGCCGCGAATGAATACCGCCGAATCTGTCCATTCATCTTGTAGTGGTGCGTCAAATGCAACGTAGATTCCCATCCAATTAGATTGAATTTGGTATTGATGACGTAAAAAATAATAACGGTAACTCCATTGAAATGATTCAAAACTAAAGTAACGAGACAATTTTTTAAAATGTAAGGAGTAGAAAGTACAGATATTTGTGTAAAAATGTAAGGAGTAGAAGTAAAAAGTCGCCATAAAAATAAGTAGTAAAGTAAAGTAAAAATATCAGAAAAATCTACTTGAGTACAGTAACGAAGTATTTGTACTTCTTTACTTCCCATCTCTGATTTTATGTTAATCCTTAATGTATAAGCTAAAACATTAGTCGCATTTTATGTACAGTCCATACATGGCAGATATAATGACTGGAAAAATGGCCATGCCTGTTAAAACCTGTCCCTGATTAACAGCAAACTTAATATATTTTTTATCTGGAATGAAACATAGACTTAAACAAATTTGGGCTAGAAAGATAGTAATAGTAATAATTTTCTTTATATTGCCGCAATTCACAGAGACAATAGAGTCAGATTGGGTTAAATTTTCTATCAAGGAAAACCAATTGATCACATCCAATCATTGACTTCCAAGACATTCTCCTCCTCGATGAGCTTATGGGTCAATATTCACTCACATTTTGTCATTAACTCTGTTGCAATCTCTCTTTTACCGAGCATGTATGTAGCGATAATAGAGAGAAAAAAAAACTTTTAACAGAAAGACACCTCCAGCAGAACCAGACTCAGTGTGAGCGGCCATCTGTAAAAGCCAACTGTGGTTAAAGGAGACGGAAGAAGATTTTACACATTGCCTTAAAAAATGCCCATCCACATCTTGAGGTTGATGATTTGCAGTAAAGGAAAGCTAATTAGACATATCAAATCAGGGATTAGTCATTTATAGTAGGGTCTTGTTGCACATGTTCAAACTGATTTGACCATAAAAAATAGATGCCTATGATTGGCAAGCTGTTTGATAAAGCACCTACTCTAGGTCTGCTAAAAGATGTAAATGCTGCCTTAATGCCTACAATAAATCAGACACCAATGAACTAATACCATCACCATTGATGTATGGATACAAGCCGCAACTCCACAACCACAAATTGCATAATTTCTCTTGAAGTTATCATCAATCTGAGAATTTATCAAAGGGTTTAAAAGGAGGTCTATCAAAAAAATGTCAGACTACCAATATGTCTAATGGATTCTAGTCACGGAAGCTAGCTTTCAGACCATGGTAAGACTTTAATTCTACAAGACCTACAAGATTGCAGCAAATCTGAATTAACTTTTTTAAAATGAACGAAATGAAATGAATCATGACCCTACTACACAATTTGTATCTGATAAATTAAATTCAAAAATACTTTATTAATCCCAAAGGGAAATTAAATATTGTTTTCATTGAGTTATTGTAGAAGCTGTAGGCAAGAAAGTTCTTCTGTATCAGTGTGTCTTCTACCAGTTCTTGAGAAGCCTCTTCCTGAAGACACTTTTTAAAAATTTTCTGAAGAAGATGCATATTTACCATTTACTTTATGAAGAATTCTTTGTGAAACAGTCTTAAGGTTCTGGAGGAGTTCCTAGAACAGAGACAACTTTCTTTTTTAGCTTGTTGAGCTTTTTAACATCATTTGATCTGATGCTGTTATCTCAGCAGATTATGGAGGAAGAAATCACACTCTCCAATTGGGCTGGGTAAAAAAATCGATTTAATCGTTTTTGAATCGATGTCTAGGGAATGAGATCAATTCATTTTATGGTGACATTCACATTCAAATGAGCAGGAAAGATGCACTCAAGATAACTTCAAGCCAGACAGCTGCAAATATACCCAATTGGTTGACCGAAGACATTAACAAATGGGGGCTGACCAGAAAACACCCTGTAGTTGTTACAGTCAACGCTGCAAATACGGTTTGTGCATTGAAGATAATGCAGCTCATGTCTTCTGTGTCACGTCTGCTTGCTCGAGTGAGGCTTCACTTTTTTTTTTACTTGTCAAAAACAAGTTTGCACTTTTGAGACAGTTTTGTTCACATCTTATGTTTAAACTGTCTGATTTACAAGTTTGCACTTTGCATTTAATGTGACAGGAAAAAAACAAAATACATGAGTATTTTGAAACACAGTTGAACCACTTTCATTATTGTAAAAACAGATCGAATCGAAATTAATTGATTTAGAACTGTATGAATCAAAATCGAATTGATTCAGGACTGGGAAAATACCCAGCCCTACTCTCCAAAAGATTTATAGAAGATATGTAGTCTCTTGTTTCAAACACAGAAGGACCTAAGTTTCCTTAGAAAGCACAGTCGTTGCTGTCCCGTCTTGTAGACGGCTTCACAGTTGTGTCTCCAGCATAGTTTGTTGACCAAGTGAAAACCAAGGTATTTAAACTCTTCTATCACCTTCACTTTTTCCCCCCCATGATTTTAACAGGATTCATTTTGTTCCTGTTTCTTCTGAAATCTACAGTCATCTCCCTTGTTTTGTTGACATTCAGGATGAAATGATTGTTTCCACACCATGCCACAAAGTGGTTCACCAGTTCTTTGTACTCTGCTTCTTGTCCATATTTGATGCACCCAATGACTGCAGTCAATGGAGTATTTCTGCAGATGACAGGACTCTGTCTGGTATTGGAAGTCAGAGGTGTACAGAGTAAAAAGGAATGTTGAGAGCACTGTCACCTGTGGTACTACTGTGCTGCTGACTACTTGATTAGACAGCCGACCCCTCAGTCTAACAAACTGTGGTCTGTTTGTCAGGTAGTCTTTGATCCAGCAGATTGATGATGCTTCCACCTGAGTCTTCTGGAGTTTCTCACAATGTGAGTTGGGGGGAATTGTGTTAAATGCACTGGAGAAATCAAAGAACATGATCCTCTGCCTTGTATAGATAACAGGGGGTTTGTTGAAGCATGTGTATACGGACATTTCCAACCCCAACTCCATGGCAGTAAGCAAGCTGTAGGTGGTCCTGATGGCTGTGTGTTTCCTGAGGTGAACCAATAGATCTCTAGCACCTTCATGATGTGCGATGTGAGGGCAACAAGTCTACAGTCACTGAGGATCGTTTGCTGAGTCTTCTTTGGTAATGAAACAACACAAGGTTTTCCAAATCACTGGAACTGTCTCCTGGGTCAGGCTAAGGTTGAGGTACTGTAGAATCCCACAAAGCTGTTTTGCACAGGCCTTCAAGACTCTGGGGCTGACATAATCAGGGTCTGGGGACTTACTACAATTCAGTCTCTCCAGTTTCCTCTTCACTAGAGACAGAGGTGAAAGGTAGAGGGAGCAGCACCATCGTCTGGGGGTAGGGGGTTAATTTTATTATTATTATTTAGCTGTATATGGGCATGAGATGAATATCTGCTGATAAAAAGGTTGGATGTGGATGTTTTCCTAAAAATGCAAAACCAGTTTTCATAACACTTTCAATTGACTGATGACACTGTGGTCTTTCAATTGAAAAAAAAAGAATCCCTATAAGTTTCATAACAATTGCACAACTGGTTTAAATATTAACCCCAACAGCAGCTAAGACGATCTTATTTGTTTTAGTTACAAAGGGTTTGCGTTACATTCTTAGGAGCCATGAGTTATATACAAGTATTGGTCAGTACGTATGTCTCTGATGATAACCAGCAGGATTTATCCCAAAAAAGAACAGCTTGAGCACGATAGAAATCTAGTTTGGTATGATTTGGTGAAAGAAACAACATAAAAAATGTACTATCAACAATATTAATGTGTTTGAGGGATGAGTAGTTTGAACAGTGAATTGATTCATTTGTGAAGTGAATCACTCATTCCATTAGTCAGCAGGCCTGCTTCATAAACACTTTCCCCAACCTCTGCAAACTAGCCAAACCCCCTGCTGTGACAGAGCATGCCATGTTTTCTATAAGGGAAAATACCAACATGTATGGGTGTTAGATAATTGTCAGTCAGTCGTTAAGACAATTGTTGTCAGGTGCTGAAAAGTCTTTGTTCCTTACTTGGAAACCACAGCACCAGTGCAGCTTTGCTCCAACAGGCAAGACAGGAAGGTATAAATTGCTCCCAAAACCACTA